TATTTTTTTTTTACAAGCAGCACCCTACGTGGGATAGCATCTGCCTGCCTCGCGGGCAAAGCGTTTCCGCACGGCGCAGTCAAGTAACCTGCACCGGCGATTACTCGCGTATTACCCACGCATTTAATTCAAGGGTGGGGGTGGTGCCGACAGAGCAGCGTATCGAAGGAGCGCATCGTTGAATCGAAGAATTACTGTCATTGTCATTTAATTAGAGGTGGCAACCCTGCGTGCACGCATTCAGATGAAAGAGCCCTTCGTGAGCGACGACGTCTCCTCGTGGCCCCCATTCACCCACATCGACGCTCGCTCGCTCGCGCGTTAACCGCGGTTCCCGCGCGCCACATGCACGCGCCCTCGCGTGGCTCGTTTCGCAGTTTAATTCACCGCTTTTTTTCTCGCCGTGCGCCACAATTCTCTTCCCCGACGGCCGAGTCGTGCCGCACGCGCGTCGAAACCCCTCGTTCCCACCGCACGTGGGCCAACCGCGCCGATCGGAGGTTGCGCCGGTGGACCGAGCGGCTCGTCACGAGCGGGAACACGTGGGCCACTCTTCCTTGAGCGTGGCGCGTTTGCTTTGATGGGTGGCGCAACTGGCGGTGCAAGGCCGCCAATTGTGCGACGGCACACCAGTGTCGTGGCGGCCGCCCGTGGTTTTGGCCGCGAGAGCGATTTGCGTCTGCGGCCACCGTGGCCTGTTCAGCGACAGCGCGCGCTGTTTACCTGGTGAAAGAGCACCGCGTTTACTGCAGGCTAACAGAGGCTCCTTTCTTTCTCATTCAGTAGAGCCGCTGCGGAAATAACCAAGCCTTCGCGTCTCAATTAACACCGATCGCTCGAAGATCACGTTAATTATAAAAAATGACCAGTCTTGCGGGGCTTTAATTTATGCAGGCATGGCCGATCTAATTCATCGTACTGTGTGTTTTTATGAATAATTTTCACGATTTGAAAATTACGTGGGATTTTGGTCGTTCGTGCGGCTTGAGATGTTGAGTGGAGCTCTGCGATGCGCAATCTTGACGAGGAAGAGGTGAGACTGTGATTGACATCACCGGTGACACGCACCGTCATGAATAGTGAATGCGCACGAGAAACAAGACACCGCTTGCCTTGAGAGCCACGCTCTCGGATTTATGCCGCGTGGAGATGCCGCCGCATCTCAAAGCTGCTGCGCGACATCTGGGACGCGCACATCGCGGGGCGATTCGTAGCGAACGTGGCCCGTCGCTTTGGAAGGGCCGGTGGTAGGCAAAAGCGAAGATTAGAAGTCTAGGGCCTGGACTTGAACGAGAGCTGAGAGTCGGCAGCACGGATTAGCAGGCGGGCGGGGAGAATTACAGACGATGGGGGGGGGGGGGGCAGCTGAGAAGGAGCGACCGCCCGCTGAGTGGAGGTTGACTCAGGGCTTACAGAGAGGTTGCTGGGGCCGAGAACACGTTGGGGGGAGTAGAGCAATATGAGAGTGGAGAGGTAGGAGATGGCGTGGAGGGGAGTAGAGTGAGAAGAGAGGGAAAGGGAGGAGAATGTCTGGGGTGGAGTAGAGTGAGATGAGACGGGAGAGGTAGGAGAGTGCGTGGAGGGTAGTAGAGCGAGATGAGAGTGGAGAGGTAGGAGAGTGCGTGGAGGGTAGTAGAGCGAGATGAGAGTGGAGAGGTAGGAGAGTGCGTGGAGGGGAGTAGAGCGAGATGAGAGTGGAGAGGTAAGAGAGTGCGTGGAGGGGGAGTAGAGTGATTGAGAGGGGAGAGGTAGGAGAGTGCGTGGAGGGGAGTAGAGCGAGATGAGAGTGGAGAGGTAGGAGAGTGCGTGGAGGGGGAGTAGAGTGATTGAGAGGGGAGAGGTAGGAGAGTGCGTGGAGGGGAGGAGAGCGAGATGAGAGGGGAGAGGTAGGAGAGTGCGTGGAGGGGAGTAGAGTGAGATGAGAGGGGAGAGGTGGGAGAGTGCGTGGAGGGGGAGTAGAGCGAGATGAGAGTGGAGAGGTAGGAGGGTGTGTGGAGGGGAGTAGAGTGAGATGAGAGGGGAGAGGTAGGAGAATGTTTGGGGTGGAGTAGAGTGAGATGAGAGGTAGGAGAGTGCGTGGAGGGGGAGTAGAGCGAGATGAGAGGGGAGAGGTAGGAGGGTGTGTGGAGAGGAGTAGAGCGAGATGAGAGGAGAGAGGCAGGAGAGTGCGTGGAGGGGGAGTAGAGCGAGATGATAGGGAAGTGGTAGGATAGTGGGTGGAGGGCAGTAGAGTGAGATGAGAGAGAAGAGGTAGGAGAGTGCGTGGAGGGGAGTAGAGCCAGATGAGAGGGACGAGGTAGGAGAGTGTGTGGAGGGGAGTAGAGTGAGATGAGAGGGGAGAGGTAGGCAGGGACACATCCACATATGATCTTGAAGACTGGGAGTGCGATCTTGTCCTGATTGGAAGCCAGTCGAGAGTTGTGGTGACGCGGTCGTGTTTGTGTATGTGGGCTCGGAGGCGCGTGGTGGAGTTCGGGGTTGTGTGGAGGTTGGAGGCGAGGAATTTGGCCGCGGCGGAGAGAGCTGCAGTCATCGCGTTGGGAGGTGATGGAGGCAGGGAGTGGCAACGGCCCCATGACCCGCACGGTGCGTCGAGGCCTTCATCCAGCAGTGGAGTGGCAAAAGGGTTGTCCAGCTGCTGTCACCATACAGCCCTCATAGGGGACTGTAGGAGACTAAGCCTGGATCCCGTGTAACGAGAAATGTCATGCAAACGCGCATCCACAAAGGCAAAGCTCCCCCGTGTAGCCTTGAACAGACTGTTGGAGGCAAGTGCTGTTAGTGAGCACCTATTAAGGCCAGCACAGCACGCAGGAGGGTCGGGTGGGCGGCACCACGTCTAGATTGAAAACTCATTTCTTCAGAACTGCTTTTCGTGTTTAGTTTTGTCTTTCACCCGCACCTCCGATTAGCACGGTTGGCTACGTACGGTACGAAAGAAGTTCGGCACACGTGTGTATATATAGGGGATGATACGTGTGTGTGTAGGGGATGTTGTAGGCAATGATCCTTCATCGCATATTGGACACGGGTTGGAAACTCGCAGCAGTGTCGGGGTCCATTGCGGGCTTTGGGGATGTGAGTGACCGTGGCATTTGTAAGGGACAAAGGAGAGCGGCGACGGGGGAGATGGAGGCGTTGGCAAAGCTGGTGAGGAGGGCGCGGGGCTGGCGTGGGGCGGCAGTGTGGGGTCAGCGTCGATAGGAGACGCGATCCAGGATGGGAGAGGACTCGCTTGGGTCGGGGATGAAGGTCGTGATGCCGTCTGGGGTGGCTGGAGGGAAGACGTCAAGGGGGCGAGGTGTAGTCAAGGAGAGCAGCTCAAGGGAGAAGACAGAGAGGCTGGAATGGCTGTGGATTGCGAGGCGAGTTGGATGTCAGGTCGGCGCGATGGTAACACTCGTGCCTCGTAGCAAAAACTAAACCTCGGTTCGATTCCCGACTCTTTTCTGTGTGGCGTTTAAACACCGGTCTCTCCATGCTGTGCGTGACTTTTCATTGAGTTCTCCGGTTTTCTACCACAGCAGAAAAGCACGCAGCCTAACCGGTATTGGTCATAACAACCCAATGCTGAAATATCCCCTGCAAATTGTTCAATTATAATCAGGCAGCAGCAGCAACAGCAGCAACAGCAGCAACAACATCACACCTCTACTGCGAAAAATATTGGCAGGATCGTCTTGAATAATACTTTGAGACTCGCCGAGGCTTTCCTGGGTAAACGAGCTTAGTCGAGAATAATTAATAATGATTAATACAAAAAATCATAATTGAGTTGGTCCTGCTTGCCAACTGACGGTGGAGTGGTGGGTGCAGCAGGTTCAAGTGTCGTGACGAGGTTCAACACGGAGACCCTGGCGTGGTGTCCAAGCCCCTCGGCGTTCCTTCGCGTTTTTCGTGGATCCGCGTACGGGCACGGGTCTCGTCAAGTGGAAAAACGCGGCCACGCAGCCGCGGCTAGGCAGATCGGAGGCCCGGTGTTTGATATCGCTACGACCTCGCACGGGCTACGGGAAGAGCACTCCGTGTTGCTTCTCAATGCTGGACTGCGTCTGGAGCGACCGCCACAAAGACTTTAAATTATTTCCACTTTTTTGTTCGGTCGCTGTTTTGTGCGCGATGCTGCTTCGGTAGGTGGCGCACAACTGTCACCAAGCACTGAACAGCACTGCCCCGGGTAGCAACACATGTATAGAATAGAGTGACGTTTCGGGCAATGGCCCTTCTTCATGGCAACATACATCGAGTATGTCGAGGGAATGCCTTGCGAGCACAGGCAGCGCGCAACAGATGCGATCCCTTTTTCTTCTGTCTGTCTGTCTGAGCTGGGATCACCAAATCCTCCTCCCCGCCGCCTCCCTCCCTCCCTCTACCTCCAACCCCTGTGCGCCTTCCCCTCGCACCGCCGTCGACCTAAAGCCCCCGCCCACTTCAATCGGCTGAAAAGATCTGCCCGCGGTTGCTAGGCAGCTTCGTGGGAGCTGTATTAGTCAAAGAAAACAAAAGCCCGGGTAGCCGCGTGGGGCGGGAGGAAGAGCGGGAGGAGGAGGAGGGGGGGGTGGCGAGGTGATGTCCGTGTGAGTGCCGCGCGGCGCTGCTGCTGCTGCTGCGACTGCGGCGGACGGAGGAGAGTGGAGGGGTTTTTTTTTGTTTCGGGGTCGGCTGCTCGCGAGAGAGGGTGGAGAGAGGAGGAGGAGGAGGCAGCGTCGAGTTTTTTTTTTGCGCGGGAAGACGGAAACGGCAGAAGCATCATCAGCAGCAGCATCAGCGGCATCAGCCGTGCGCTCGTTCCCGTGTCACCGATCGCACGAGCGCGCCCGTGCGCACGCGCGCGTTGGCGCACACACAGCACAGCAGCACACCACACGTGTGAGTGCGTGCCCGGGCTGCCATCTGTCTGCGTTAATCCGCTGCCGGGGCTGCGGCGAGCGAGCGAGCGAGAGGGCGGGCGGGCGGGGAAGGGGAGGGGAACGAGCGAGCGAGCGAGCGATGCTGTCGGGGATGGTGGTGGCGCGGCGCTCGGCATCGCCACATCCCGCCGCGAGCGGGGGACCCCTCGCGGCGCCGTGGCCGAGCCGGGCCCGCGGCGCCGCGGGTCGAGGAGGCCGCTAGATGAGAGGCGCCGCCAGAGCGCGAGGACGAGGAAGAGGAGGACGAGGGGGAGGAGGAGAACCGCATCCCGAGCACATCCGAGCAGGCATGGCCGCGCGTTCGCCGCGGGGACTGTCGGCGCTGGGGGTTGGAGAGATGTCGTGCGTGGCGGAGGAGGCCGAGCTGGAGCTGCTGTACGAGGAGGAGGAGGAGGAAGAGGAATACGAGGATTTGCGTTGTTTTAGCCGATACTGCGAATCACCGGTAAGACGCCGCCGATGCGCACACCGCTGCACAGATGTCTGTTTTTTTGTTTTAGCACGCAAACGCTGCGGCTGGCTGCGGTGCGAGAGAATCCACGATTCGTGCGTAAATAAATAAGGAAACGATTCTAATGGTAAGGCAGAGGTGACATTTGAATGAATCGGGCCGAGCGTGGCCGCGTGTGTTGGCGGCCGTGAGCAGCAGGGGGGCGGGGGGCATTGGGTGGGGCGGTGGTGACGGTGCGGGTCTCCCGGGCCCTGCTGCCAGCGAGACAGCGCACGCGATGCATCCAGGGCACTTTACCTGCACGGCAGGAGGAGAGGTGCTGCACTGCAGAGGACATCAACAACACCAACAACGACCGTCCCCTCTCCCCCGACTGACCACGTTGAACCACGAAGCGCGTGCTCGTGGGCAATGCCGTTGAGCGACGTCGCCAATGACTTTGGATTTTGGAACACATCCACTGCGTCATTCACTCGTCGTGAATAATAACAATAATAAGAATCGTTTTGGCGAGAAACATTTGGGACCTTGCTGTGTCGTGCAAGGACCCCGCTGCGTTTTTGCGCTGCTCGTCCTCGCTCCTGTAATTCGTATTGGGATTGCAAAATTAAAGGGGGGAAATCCGTTATGCAATGCAGTGTCGTCCCCGATCAGCGTTAATGTCATGCTTGTTAATGATTGCGAATGGGATGTTTAATGAGTGCTGAAGGCTACTGTGAGTGGCTAAGCTATTGCTGCATTGCCAGCGGGGCCCAGAGCCTACAGCACGGTGAAGTTATTGACAGGGGGTTGGTTGGTCAGTACCAGCTGGGGTGAACATTTGTACCAGCAGTGTCCACCATCAGCAATGTCCACCACGGGCAGTGTCCACCATCAGCAGTGTCCACTACGGGCAGTGTCCACCATCAGCAGTGTCCACCACGGGCAGTATCGTCACGTGCAGTCTGTTCTATAGAGACGCTTTCTATGTATCCTCACATTGCATCGATGTGTCATAGACATTATCTTCCAAAACAAAGTACTCAATCAAACATGCTACGGTAGTCCCCTCTGACCTTACAATATTTTCACCCATCTTGCGTTCATATCCGCGTGCGATCCAGAGATACAAGTTTCAACAAGATGTTCGCAATTGCCACCCAGGGTGCGAGCCATAAGACGTGCTTGGGCCAACGTCTCAAGGACCACAAATGGCAGTGAGAGAGAGAGCGTGACACCTCGTTGTGTCACCCTCGTCACTGCCATTGGTGAGCGGCAGTGCGCAGAGGAACGGCGTGAACGCGACTTTGCCCCCCCTCCCCCCTTGCCACCTCTGCGCCCGGAGGAAAAAAAATTCGATGTACGCTGCGGCGCGGTGCCACATGCCTCGTGGAGTCCGCATGCTGTGTGGTCGACAGTGCGGTTTCTCTTTTATTACCAAATCAGTGGGGAGGCGGTGGCGGCGGCGGGGGAGGGAGATTCGCGATTGATGGCGATGCTTTCACGACGACGATTCGATTGACCGATTTTCCGCGAGGGTGGACCACACTCGCACCGCCCCGTCGCCAGCGTGTTCTGCACAGCTCCCGTGATGCATCGTGCTCCATCGATCCCTGCGCGAAACCGATCGGTCCCCGACGCGTATTGATCACTTATTGATCACGCCGGGCAGTTGCCGGAGTTGGGACAATGCCTGGCGACGCCCACTCAGATGGAGGGGCCGCCCCCCCCCCCCCCTTTGTGATGCAAAATTGAGCGTCAGACGCCGACGACGTTTCGTCTCACGAGCCTCGCCGTGCTCGTCCAGATGGAGCCCCTGTCTTGACCGAACCCCTCCCCGCGTCCAACACGACCCCCACCCCCCCATTCGTTCCCCCGGCGGTTCTCGCGAGCCGAACCGGGGGGGGCGGTGGTGATGTGCGGGCGAGACGCGGGCCACGTGGGGGGGGGGGTCTCGGTCACACGCCACCAGCAGCAGCTCGTAGCCCCTTGCTGGTGCCCTGAATTAAAAAGTAAATTCAGATTTTAGTACAAAGGCCTCGAGGCGTGCCCAGTCTGGTGTAAGAAAAACAAAATCCAAGCGCAACCCCGCTCTCACCCCCCCCCCACACACACATAATCTGTCTGGTAGTGTGAGAGTTGTAGCGATGGTGCTGCATGGCTCTTCAATGTTGTTGTTTTGGGCTGTGGTCAGCACCGTCTATGGGGGGCACCCTCTGACGCCTTCAAACTAAACCGGAAGTATTGCATCTGATACCGTGACGCCAAAGCCCCCCCCCCCCCCAAAGCGCGGGGCACGGGGCGGTCGCACCGATTCGCCGTTACCCGAGCGACGGCTCTGGCTGCGGTGTGTCGTTTGCCCGACGTTTCGCTCCTCCGCGCGTTGTTCCGAAGAGTTCCCGGAGAAGCTCCCCAGCACGCGGAGAGAAGCAGTCGGGCGCAGTGCCGAGACGAGGTGCCAGGGGGGTGGGCTGCGGGGAGCAGCGGCGCTCTGCCACAGCGGGAACTTGAGCGGCGTCGTTGAGTGCCGCCCCATGCGGGTCCTTGGGTAGAGGCACGGCGCGGGAGAGTGTGCGTCAACAGAATGCATTCAATTTCGATTTAAAGCTTTCGTAACTGCAGGGATTCATCTTCTTGGTTCTTTCGGTAAAGTCACGTAGAATGGAAATAATAAAAATAAAACATAATAAAATAATTCTCACAACGTCTGTTGAGAAGACAGAGTCTTCTCGACAGACCTGTTCTCCACCTGAGGACGGTTGCTTGCGTTGTGGCCGAAACGTCGTGAGAATTATTTTATTATGTTTTATTTTTATTATTTTATCATTTCCATTCTACGTGACTTTACCGAAAGAACCAAGAAGAAGAATGCATTCAACAAAAGCGTTTTTGCGTGGGTTTTAAATGCCACGTTGCGCCGTGCACCGGTGCAGTAGCCCGTAAAGCTGTCTCGCAGGTTAAAAGGAACGTGGCTTGAGGTCGCGGTCAAGCGGAACGGCGTTGGGGGCATTCTCGTGACGTCCGCGCGCGTTTGAATCCAACTCGCGTGCCGCTGCTCTGGTGGAGCATCCTGGGCGTCATTCTCTCTCTCTCATGAATGACGCTCCCAGCTGGTGGAGGGACAGCTGCACGATGAGAGCTCTTTTAAATGGCAATAACCAATCTTGATTTGAAGCTTTCGTGACTGCAGGAATCCACACTCTTTGGTTCTTTCGGTAAAGTCACGTAGATAGAAAATTCATAGATCGCGACGTTTCGATCGCAGCTACAAGCAACCGTCATCAGGTGAGACAAGCACAGCAGGAGAACTTCTGAGGCAGGAGAAAGAGCTGCTCCAACAAGAGGTTATATAGGCTTGAGGTGGGCTCATCCCAAGGGTTAGTGGGTGGAGCTAGAGATGGAATTTGAACGTAATAATCAACTCACCCGGAACGCGCCCGATCTCGCCAGATCTCAGAAGCGAAGCAGCGTTGGGTGTGGATCGCGCTTGAATGGGTGACGACGCAGGTTGTCGCCGGGGGAATGCTTTGATGTTGACTGCCGGCCGGGTGGCCCTTGAAAAAAAGCTTCTTATCTCACTGGGCTTTACTCGGAAATGAACTTTTGATTCTCCCGAAACTTCTGACTGCGGGGCCACGGGTTTGGTGGCAGAGGGAAGTGCAGTGTTGTACGTTACTTCTAGGCTTCCGATTCTGCGCCTCGCCCCTTCACCGCCAACGCGCACTGCCCAGCGTTGGGTGAATCACGGCCAAACAACGTCGGTGACCCGCGCGGCACGGGGAGGCCCTCGTCCAGCAGCGGGCGGCACGCGTCCGTTCCTCTTAGCGTCGTCCCTCACGTGGGTGGCCGCGTCGCCCGCTCAGCGCCGACATCGACCCTCAGCCCGTGCCCGTGCGCTCCGTCGCATTTGGCACCGATGCCCGGGCGGCGCAAAGTCAAAACGCTCGTGGCGATGGAGGCGACGCGGTGACGCGTATTGTCCCACTCGCCCGACGGATCGATCCGGTGGTTCCCGAAATGTTGGACGCAAGCGGCTCGTCAGTGCCTCTGTCGAGCAGCGGAGCCGAATCGGGCAGTTCGAGCGCTCGTCAAAGGTAACGAGGCGGCCAGCGTGGCACCGCTTTGGTAGGCACCGTACATTTGCCTACCTGGGAATAATCTGCAGGCGTCGCCTGGACATCAATTCCAGGCACCTGCGATTGCGCACTGGTTAGCGCGCGAGTTTCATTGCCGGCCCCGGCCAACATCAGTGGCGAGCGACATCTGACCAGGGCCTGGTTCCTCCGTTCACTGATCCTGGTCAGCGTGATGAAGTATGGCCAATCAACCCCACGTGACCACCACGGCAATGGGGAAGCATCCTTCCAGCAGCAGATTGACAAAGGGCTGCAATGCACCGCAGCCACGATGATCCACCACTCACCGATAATAATAATTATCCCTCCGTGCAGCTCGCAAACTGCCCTCGGCCGTGGCCATGGCAGTGGGAGGGCGGCATTGGCATCGTGGCAGCCGCCGCTGCCAGGCGAGGACTGCGTCTTTTCACAGTCTCCGCCGCAAATTAAACCTCTCCCGAGGGCAGGGGGCCAGTGGAGTCGTTGTGTGTGGGGGGGGGGGCACCTTAACAGTGATACCCCACGAAAGAGAGTGAACTTTTGGAGGGGGGGGGGCACAGGGACATCTGGTGGTGCAGCCCCCCCTTTCCTACCCACGCCCCACCCCCCCCGGCCCACAGGAACCGACGCTGCCCAGATGTTGCCAAGTGTCCGTGTCAAGAGCACTCATTACAGATAATTGAAAGAGCGATGGCACCAGACGTCAATTTCCATCTCACGCCGTGAGACGGCCGGGGGCGGGGAGGTGGTGCCGGAACGCAGCCGCCCAGCGGAGTGAGGATCGCAATCAGAATACTTATTAAGACTGGAGGAGGAATCCGATGAGCTATGAAGCTCTTTTTCACAGATGTCCAGTAGGGGTGCGTGAGAACGTTCCAGCAACAAGCCTAAAACACGATAGGAGTGCAAAGTAAAGGTAAACAAACCACTTAAAAAATGTATACAAATAAAACGAAACAATTTTTAATATATATATCACCAGGTAAAGTCCACCAAGGTGTTTACCTGATTGTTCAGAAGCCACCTGGCCACGGATGTCCGTATCCACGTGGCACAGTTGGACCTCTCCGTGCTTCGTCGTCGATGCAGCGGCAAGGCAACTTCGCCTTGCCGTGGCACGGGAGAGACGCAGCAGCAGCAGCAGCCAAGCCGCCGGCTGGCCAGGCGAGCCGAGACGGGGCTGCGGGCGGGAGGGGTTCATTGAAATTCACGTCTGGGATTGTCAACGGGCCAGGAGGCGGTGAATATTGGCGAGGCGCTGTAACGAGTCGACGTTCGCCTCGGGAGGTTCCGCTTGTACAAGAAAGAGGCTTTCGCAAACGCCACGCCGCGTAGTCCAGTCCACCCGTTGGGCTTTGCCGTTCATCTTCTTGGTTCTTTCTGTAAAGTCACGTAGAAGGGAAATAATAAAGTAATAAAACATAATAAAATAATTCTCACAACGTTTCGGCCACAACGCAAGCAGCCGTCCTCAGGTGAAGAACAGGTCTGTCGGAAAGAAATGTCGTGAGAATTATTTTATTATGTTTTATTTTTATAATTTTATTATTTACCTTCTACGTGACTTTACCGAAAGAACCAAGAAGATGAATCCCTGCGGTCACGAAAGCTATAAATCGAAATTTTATTATGTTTAATTTTTATTATTTTATTATGTTTTATTTTTATTATTTTATAATGTTTTATTTTATTTATTTTATTATTTCCCTTCTACGTGACTTTACCGAAAGAACCAAGAAGATGAATCCCTGCAGTCACGAAAGCTTTACATCGAAATTTTGCCGTTCATTTCAACGATAACGCATCAAGGGTGGTGGCTTTAACATAACTTCTTCGTGTCTCCACGTACGTGTTTGTTCTGCAGTTTTAAGCTGATTGACATGCGGAAGTCACTCTGAATAACAGAGCCGATGTTTTTAGAATGTGAAACGTCTTCGCGCGCAGTGTTGACAAGCTCGAGTTGTCATTAAACAATGGCCGAGCCAGGATTTTCAGGTTAGTGGAGGGGCAACCCCTCCAGCGGCGATGGCGCAGCCATCGATCGAGGGCCGAATTCAAACCGCGTTGTGTGATCGGCATCGCGCTCGCTGAAGGTGAATAACTTCAGGGAAGTCGTGTGTACTGTATACGCAACTGCGCACAATTCTGTGAGTCACTTATAACCGCTTTGCCGTTACTTAGTGCCAATTATGGACTATCATCACCTCGAGTCCCTGTCTCATAACAATATGCTACACAGTGGCAGTGGGGGTCGCAAAATGCCGATTTATTACTAATAAACCCCAATGATCCGATCAAAATTAGGGATTTCGATCGGATCATTGGTGGGGCATGTGCCTCCCCCCCACCGGCTCCGCCAGTGGTCATATATAGATATCTATATAGTGCTGCACCTCTATAAACGAGATTAACGCGTCGCGCTGCTCGTAAAGTGTTCCGCGGATTTGTATTTTGTATTATTTGCAATAGTTTGTTACCTGGAGAATCTCTTGAGATGGAACGGTCGTCGGGGAAGTCCATGCAGCGGTCCCCAACCTTTTTGGCACCAGGTTTCGTGGAAGTCAATTTTTTTACGGACCGGGGTGGGGGGTGGGTCATCATTGGGTCTTTCCCCATTTTCAAAAAAGCTCTCCAGCGACGTTTGTTTTTTACTCATTCTGGCTCGGGGTTAGCAGCTTGTGGGCTTACTAAAACTGTGACTGAGACAAGTGCGCGATGTGGATGGAAGTGGTAAATAATAAAACAATGGGCGGGCCACGTGCGGACTCACCGCCCTCACCTCCTGCTGCTGTGCGGCCCGGTTCCTAACAGGCCACGTGACCGGTCATCACGCTCGCTCACGCTCTCTCACGCTCGCTCACGCTCTCTCACGCGCGCTCACGCTCTCTCACGCGCGCTCACGCTCGCTCACGCTATCTCACGCTCGCTCACGCTCGCTCACGCTCGCTCACGCTCTCTCACGCGCGCTCACGCTCGCTCACGCTCTCTCACGCTCGCTCACGCTCACTCACGCTCTCTCACGCTATCTCACGCTCACTCACGCTATCTCACGCTCACTCACGCTCTCTCACGCTCACTCACGCTCTCTCACACTCATCAGGAATGAATCGCACTGTTTAACGAGCCCAGTGTGGATATAGAGGGTTGCGTATTCACGATTAATGATACTGTGCATAGTGGGATAATGTGAATCATTAGCCCACGTCAAGTATAATAAAATGTGAATACATTAATTTGTAATGGGTATTCTTTGGGTCTTTCGGTAAAGCCACGTAGATAGAAAAAACTATTAAAATATCACGACGTTTCGATCGCAACACAAGCAATCGTCATCGGGTGAATATCCAGTTGAAATGTGGCGGGTTTTTGCTGTGAGGTCATGGCCACTGTTTAATGAAACTGGGTCAGGTGACACACACTGACTCTTAAAATTCTGGATCTTTTCTCGATGATGCTTTATGCAGTTTCAAACAAAGCGTCGCAGTGTTCGCTACTTTTTTGTGAGGATTATTCTTCAGTTTGCCGGTGGGGATCTGAAACAAAAATCACGAAAGGCTTGCACAGTACACCGAGTGACTATTAATTTGTTTGGCTGTGTAGGGTGGGTGAAAGGTTTATGACACAGATTCGTCAACGATGGATCAGTCATCTGTGGCTGTGAGATATCCGCCTGTGGTCCTTAGGCAAGACAGTGCTAATGCTGATGATAGCCGTGGTGATTCAGTAAAAAAATACTTTATATATACCTGTGTTTTACAAAAAAACACTACGCCTTATTTTTCATAAACATGAATTTAAAACAAGCTTGTGTCTGTTTAAAAGCTTTAGGCAGTGTCGTCACCCGCGATTGAACGCAATGCTCCATTGCAACGCGATGCTCGTGAACAACGACCACACAACAACAAACACGGCCTTGGCAGCAATTTGGTAGAACCCAGCCCTGGCCACCGAGCCATCGTGTGGCCCGGGTCACGTGCGTGTGGGGCATGAGATGAGCAGCCCTGACACGCACCGTCGGGGTACACCAGCTTGCGTGGCCGCCTTCACCGACCCGCTTTGACCAGCGCGGCAAAGCGCGGTCGGGTAACGCGTGCGGTGCCGTGTCGCCTTGCCAATGGAAGCGTCTCCCGAGAGATAGTGAACGGCCGCGAGTGATAATCAATGAACGCGTCGGTCGCTGTGCCCGCCAGGTGGATCAGTACCACCGGCACTCGCTCTCGCCCGTGCCGGAGGAGTCCGGCGAGGAGCAGGAGGAGGAGGAGGAGCCGTGCGGCATCTCGGCGGGGTCCGCCGGCTCGCGCTCGTCCTCGTGCGAGGACCTCTCGCCAGGGGTCCTTCCCAGGGACGGCTCTCCCAAGCGGGTGAGATGGCGGCGCGTACTTCGGGAGGGGAAGTGGGGGAAGGCGGGGGGGGGGTGAAACAAAACCACAAAAATCCCCACCCTCGGCGCTGATTGGGAGCGTTCACGCCTGTGGGCTGTGCCGGTCACCGTAGACACGCCGCAGATCTCGTAAAATCGTGATTATAATCCCCCGTGAGTCCTGGGGGCCCGCCACACCTACGGTGGACACAGAGAGGGGGTTATGAGCAGGACGCTGGGCACGCGGCCGCACTGCGGCGTTGGCGCGGCGAGGTTCGCCTCCAACCCCCACCCCGACGTCGTGACGGATCAGAGGAGTGGCACCGCGCTGTCACGAACTACGCCAACGCCACGCTCCCCGTGCCGGCTCGGCACCGAGCGGCCCCGTGTACGGAGAGACTGCTGCGCCATTGGCACAACCGGCAACCATCCACGCCGAGAGAAAATCGCACGCGGGGTGTCTCTTAGTCGCTCGATGCGAACGTGCCGGTGTGTGTCCAGAGGCGGGCACCCAGGGTACGTGGTGTCTGAGAGCGTTGACGTGAACCGTCGTGTGCTCACCCCCCCCCCCCCACCTCGTGCCCCTTCGCTCGTGCAAGGCGGCGACGGCGGCTGCTGCGGTGACTGCGGTGGCGCAGTCCGCGTGCGAGCAGGAGCTGCTCCGGGCCGCGGCGGTGAAACTCCGCACGCTCGCCACGCCGCGGCTGCCCGGCACGCGGAGGCGCGAGGAGGAGGAGGGCGAGGAGGGTCCCGAGGAGGCCGAGGAGGTCGAGGAGGTGCAAGACGAGAAGAGGCCACTCAGCTCCTGGGAGACGCTCGAGTACCTTGTACGTGCTGAGGTGATGGGCGGCGGTGGGCGGATAAAACACAGCGGGGGGGCACGGTAGGGGGCACGGTATGGTGCGTCCGTCAACCCATGGCACCTGGGTCTGTCTCGTGACAAGAGCCAGCGAGCCTTCGACACTTCACGCGGCCTCAAAGCACACCTAGCCTGGCACAAGCACCGTGGTGATGTCACAATAGGCGGTTGTTGTTGGGGGTGGTGGCCACAGCGCCGGCCTTCGTAGAGGTGTTGCTCGCTAACAGCACTTGCCCCAACAGGCTGTTGAGGCTACACGGGGGGTCTTTGTCTTTGGGGGGTGGTGGGAAGGTGCTGGGGTGGAGGAGGCGCCCGCAGCTCCCCCAGGGCCAGCGCCGCCGCACCGCGCGCTTGCGAACACATCCAGCTCGCAAGCTGAGCAGGAGCTGAGCCTGGCTAGCGCCTGGATGAGTAGCCACCGCGCGCCTCACGTCGGCAAAGGGCAGCGCGGCAAATTTCCATTTGTTTTACCAACTCGCACCGATCAGCGTGGGGCGGCACTCATCCAGCAGTGGAGCGACTGGCGGGCTGTACACATGCAGGTGGTCATGTTCATGACGATATGTTCCGATGCACCCACAACTCATCGATTTAAGTCTGAATTGAAGGCATAACTTTCAAGAGCGTTTTGCATGTAACTGATTAAGTGAACGAGAGAGAGAGAGAGATGGCTCACGCACAGTTTAGAGTTTCTCTTGCGTTTATTCTCAATCGTCCGTGTGCATTGTCTACGATGCGTGGAGCGCCGTCTTTGGTGTGCTGTCACTTTCCTAACCGGGTGGACATCCCAGATGACCCTTGGCTCTGGTGCATCGAGACGTTCCGCACCGCAGGCTTAGTGGTGCGATCGATCACTTCCGGCACACGCCGCGTGCGCGTGGAGCGGGTGGCACGGTGACCAGCACCGTGCGATTCTCGGCGACAGGACCGACCGCTCCAGGACCGGGCCGGCGTTGCGTGGCAGCAACGGAGGAGGAGCAGTGACGACGAGGAGTACGTGGAGTACGAGGAGGAGGAGGAGGACCTCGCGCGGTCACAGCCGAGCCGGGAGGACGGCGTGGCCTCGACGCGTGGCCCCGACGAGCCGTGGGGGTGCAAGCGGAGCCGTCGGGACGAGAGCGAGCGCCGGGCGGGCACGGGTGGCCGCGAGCGCGAGGAGAACGCGGTGCGGGAGGCAACCGCCGCCGTCCGGCACCGCGCGTCCAACGGGCAGCAGCCCCGGCAGCGGCATCGACGGCTGAGGAACGGCTCGGCCCCGGAGGCGAGCGGAGAGCCGGACGATCGCTACGAGGAGGAGGAGGAGGCGGCGGCGACGATGGCGCTGTCGCGCGCGGCGGAAGGCGGCGGCGGCGCCGCGCAGGAGGGCGGCTGGGCGCTGCAGGTGGCGCTGACCGAGGCGGAGCGAGTGCAGAGCTGGCTCATGCAGGCGCACGCCTCCCTGGGGCGCTGCGGCGCCGTGCGGTGGGGCCGCACGCGCGACGTGGCCAGCCAGCTCGTCGACTGCCAGGTGAACGGAATGCTCGGAGGGTGCAAGGGATGATACGGGACACCTGTGAAAAAGTGCTTTAGAGCTCATCGGATTCCTCCAGTACACAGGAGAATAATAAATCTTGACTTAAAGCTTTCGTGACTGCAGGAATTCATATTCTTGGGTCTTTCGGGAAAGTCACGTAGATAGGTTAAAAGAAAATGACAAAAAACTACGACGTTTCGATCGCAACGCAAGCAGTCGTCTTTTTTTCTTCTGAAGACGACCGCTTGTGTAGTGGTTCGAAACGTCGTAGTTTTTTGTTATTTTTTGTTATTCTCTTTGAACCTATCTACGTGACTTTACCAAAAGACCCAATAATATTGTATAATAATGCTGAGAGATACCACGTGCTCTGATCCAGGTGCTGTCGTGCCCCTCTCTGGAGTCTCGTTTGATGTCGTCGAGTGGCAGGAGAGGAGTTTATCTTCGCAGCGGGCCTCTGTCTAGAGGGGCCATGTTATGCATTGAAATTCTACGAAGAGAAGCGCAAATTAGTGGCACCGTAGGAGGAGATCCCTGAAAAATGGAGCGTGGTGTCTCTGAGGAGAGGGGAAATTGCCTTTGCTGTAGAAAGTCCCATCAAGAATTCTTCCTCCGATGGAGCGTGTCACGCTCAACGGGACGCTGGAGGTCGGTGTTTATGCTGCTGCTCCTCCTGCTCCCAGAGTTTGCGAGTCGCACTCGAACGAACACCCTCTGTGTCGTGATCAGGCCAGGCGTATTCATGAGTTGTGTTGCTTGAGTCGTCAGGGTGAGGCGGGCATGTCCCTCCGATCTCTGTCCCCATGAAGAGCGATTCACAGACAAGCCAAAACTAAAAGCGGTGCGACGTGGAGACAGATAATGATGTGTAGAGGTCTGATTTGTGAACGTCTATAGACAATGACAATTATAACTGCACCAGGTGTGGGCGGGTAATTGGGCCGGGCGCATACGTGACGGTTGGATATGTCACTTTGGACCGCACTAATGTAATAATAATAATCATAATAATAATTATTAATAATCATTATTATTATTATATTAGTTGATAGTTGATCTCGTTCCACCTCCTCCCTCGACAGCTCCCCGCTCCCCGCCATGGGCAGACTCCCGAGAACAATAATAGCAGCCCAGCTTCCTCCAACCATTATCTCTTCTACATTGCTGGCAGAAATCCTGTTGTTGGTCTGGGGAGGTAGTCCCGTTGTCAATGGGCTCTGCTCCCCACCGTCACCGCTCGGCCGCCGCTTTCCCCCCTCTCGTCCGCTGACCCTGCTCTCATTGGCTCCGGCACCGTCGTCCTCATGGGCCATGATCTACCCGCTGCTGGACGAATTCGGTTGCCATCTCTCACGGGTCACGGGGTCACTGCGATGCAATTTTCGGTCTCACTCCTCCGGCCCACAAGCTGATTTCGCCGCTCCGTCTCCCCGCGGTGGGCGCGTTCTCTCCACCGGCTGCCGTTGGTCTCGACCGCCGGCCATCGTACCTTCCAGCGACGACGCGTCCTGCCCAAGCCCGCTTAATTTTCTTTGCAGTCAACACGACGTCCGCAGCTTGCGTGCATTCGCTCGCCAACCCCTTGCCGTTTCTCACTGTAATTCCAAGCGTGCGCCTCTCCGTGCGTCTCTCCGTTGCGCCGTTCACATTTTTTTCTCCGTCCTCCTCATCGGTGTCTCCGTGCCACCGATCTGTGCGCCACAGCGGGTGGGCGACACGCCCCCCCCGCTCGCAGGCACCGAGAGGTGACCCAGCGGCGGTGAAGCGAGCCGCGCGATCGCCGCTTCGACGCTTCCTTCTGACCGCAGACCGTCCACATTGCACTCGCTAGGATGCTGCCACCAAGCACTCAGACCGCCTCGCCCAGATTGCTGCGCATCTCTCCATCGTTTTTCCGTCGCGAGCGCCAGACATTGGATCTCCGGCCCGCTTGTCGCTTTGCTGGCGGAGCCCTCGGGTTGGTTTGTAGAGAGCGAGCTTCGAGCGTCTCTCTCTCCGATTCCCGTCACACAACGCCCTCCGATTGCGGCGACGATCGTGGAGATTGCGTCTCGAAGGGCCCCGTCAACAAGCGCGTGCGCGCACGTGTCAAGCCGCATCGTCCACATTCCTCCCGCTGCCTCCGAGTCCGAGTATCCTGTGCGATGTGAGCATCGCGCACTGTACTTGTATACAGCTCGTACATGTTGCGATGTAGTCATCTACACGTGACTTGAAGAGAAACCAATGGAATCCTGTTTTTAACCGTGAGAAGAGACAACGGTGGCGTGCTCTTTCATATCATTTCTTTCTTTTTACAAATTAAACGTCAAAGGGCCCCTGTCCTGTTAGTGAGAACGTGGCTGTTCATCCAATTTTTATGAAAAATATCTCAATTACCAACACCAGGGAAACTCACCCATGCGGTGTGTTTCTGCTTCCCTCTCACCTCTCATCTCACTCTACTCTCCTCCACTCTCCTACCTCTCCCCTCTCATCTCACTCTACTCTCCTCCACTCTCCTACCTCTCCCCTCTCATCTCACTCTACTCTCCTCCACTCTCCTACCTCTCCCCTCTCATCTCACTCTACTCTCCTCCACTCTCCTACCTCTCCCCTCTCATCTCACTCTACTCTCCTCCACTCTCCTACCTCTCCCCTCTCATCTCACTCTACTCTCCTCCACTCTCCTACCTCTCCCCTCTCATCTCACTCTACTCTCCTCCTCTCTCCTACCTCTCCCCTCTCATCTCACTCTACTCCCCTCCACTCTCCTACCTCTCCCCTCTCATCTCACTCTACTCCCCTCCACTCTCCTACCTCTCCCCTCTCATCTCACTCTACTCCCCTCCACTCTCCTACCTCTCCCCTTTCATCTCACTCTACTCCCCTCCACTCTCCTACCTCTCCCCTCTCATCTCACTCTACTCCCCTCCTACTCTCCTCCCTCTACCTCCTCTCCCCTCTCATCTCACTCTACTCCCCTCCACTCTCCTACCTCTCCCCTCTCATCTCACTCTACTCCCCTCCACTCTCCTACCTCTCCCCTCTCATCTCACTCTACTCCCCTCCACTCTCCTACCTCTCCCCTTTCATCTCACTCTACTCCCCTCCACTCTCCTACCTCTCCCCTCTCATCTCACTCTACTCCCCTCCACTCTCCTACCTCTCCCCTCTCATCTCACTCTACTCCCCTCCACTCTCCTACCTCTCCCCTCTCATCTCACTCTACTCCCCTACACTCTCCTACCTCTCCCCTCTCATCTCACTCTACTCCCCTCCACTCTCCTACCTCTCCCCTCTCATCTCACTCTACTCCCCTCTACTCTCCTACCTCTCATCTCACTCTACTCCCCTCCACTATCCTCCCTCTCCCCTCTTACCTTGCTCATCTACACTAAACTCTCCTCCCTCTCCCCTCTCATCTCACTGTCCAACCCTCCTCCACGCTCCCTCTTATCTCTCCCCTCTCACATCTTCACCCCCATGCTACACACGTTAGAAATGAGTCCACGCCATAACCAAATACACCCAGGGCACCCTTCCCCCATCACTCCGGATCATCGGCAGACTTACTCTGCCTCTACTCGAATCATTGATTTGAATCAAAAACGTGAATTGCAAATGTGGACATTGTGCCATCTGGGCACTCACGACCATGCACAGCCCTGGTGTCAATCCACTGCTGGATGAGGGCTTCCCCGCACCGTGCGGGTCCTGGGGGTTATTGGACCATCCTTCGTCACGCTGGGTGGTGCGGGTTGGTGAAGGCGTCGAGCACAGACGTGGGGAGCGTAGAAGTGCAGGACAGCAATGGACTTTGCTGCACTGTTGCCACCACGTCCGGGTGTCTGTGTGTCGGGCGGCAGCAGGAATTGGTGAGTACCGAGATCTTGTGCCGGCGTTGCGTTGCGCTTGAGTACAGGAGGCGCCTCGGCTGACTGAGAAATACGTCCGGGGTTTGGTCTCCGGTAGAGAAAATGCCAAGCCGAACCTTCTCCAATGCAGCCACGCAGTAGCCTATAGCGCCTGTTTTGCGCATTGTGGTCACTCATCCAGCGCTCAGCCCTGTTTAACCCAGTTAGCCTTGCACACGGGGGTCGTAGGTTCCATCTCAAGGGATTATCTCAGAAAACGATGTTTTTCTAAATGAAATGAGTAAAAATCACTTCCGAGGTGTGACGAGACCGGGCTCGTCCCGGGGTGATTCGGTCGGCGGTTCCGCTCGCGCAGCACTCCCCTTGATCACGCCGCCGCCGTCGGCCGTGCCACTGGCCGTGTCGTGTGCAGAGCCTGCTGACGGAGATCGAGCGCAAGGTGTCGGTGCTCGGCGCCCTCATCACGCGGAGCGACGCGCTCCTGGAGGAGGTGCGGGCCCGGGCGGGCTCGCGGACCCCCGTCCCCACCCTCGGCGCCGCGGGCGAGGACGGGAACCCGGCGTGCCTCGACTCAGCGGCGGCGACGGAGGGTGTAGAACGGGCCGCCCCCGACGACGGCCAACCGACGGACGCCGGGGGCGGCCGCGAGCCGGACGGCGACGACGGCGACGACGGCGACGACGCCGACGCCGGAAAGGAGGTCGCGTCCGACGAGCCGGAGAGCGACGTCCGCCCCGCCGAGTGGCCGGGCCGCTACTGCGATGGCGAACAAGTGGATGCGCAGCACGTGGACGCACAGCACGTGGACGTGCAGCACGTGGACGTGCAGCACGTGGACGTGCAGCACGTGGACGTGCAGCACGTGGACGCGCAGCACGTGGATGCGCAGCACGTGGACGTGCAGCACGTGGATGCGCAGCGCCTGCGGAGGAGGGCGCACGCCGAGGAGATCTCCGCTCGGCTGCGCACGCTCAAGGGCAGCTTGCTGGGGCTGCAGAAGGTGCTGCTCGACCGGCAGACCATCCTGCAGGTGAGCCCGGAGCGATCATCGGCCACCTCCACCCAGGTGGCTGAACGGCGTCGTTATTGGGCGACGAACTGTGCGAGTCAATTCTGAGAGTCCACGCGAGCGCTTTTGTAGTTTTTTTCGTTTTTTCGCGTGAAGATTTTCTTTGCCTGGGTGCACTCGCGGTTAGAGGATCATTTCAGAATCGAGGAATCACCGCGCAATCTGCGCCCTAAGACGTCCGGTACGTTACGGGCGCATTACAAATGTAATTTTTTGTTGTTGTTCACGAGTTAAAATTCTGGTCGGGGCTCAACTCGGCCCCTTCATCACTGCGGAGTGGATGAAATCGGCACTACCACGGAACGGGAAGTCGTCGGCGGTTGTTACGGACCGACCCGCTTCTGCCATGACGATGTGGACTCACCACCACAGGCTTGTGGTCCGATGAGTGCCTGGGCTCTGACTCGACGTTGTTGGATGAGGACGTGCGTGGCGGTGGCGTTGTGTCTCGCAGGGACGGTTAACGCGGCAGGAGGCAGAGGGAGAGGAGAGCACGTCACACGTAAATACCGCGCGCTCGTCGTGTGCTCTCGAACGCGGCCTTCGCGGCAGTGCCACGCTGCCGCTTGCCTGCGCGTTACTTGCCTGGTACTAACCCCTAATTACCGCTGCAGACAAAGGCAGGTTTTGTGTGTGTGTTCGCTGCAACCCCCTAACACCAGCACAAACAAATCTCTGGGTCACAATAAACAATGTTGTTCAAATTGCACGGTGACTGAAAGCGCCTTTAGCACATTGCGAGAGAATAAATAGGGATAATCGCTAACCCCTCCCCCCCCCCCCGGTAGGTGGGTTGTCGCTGCTCTGCGGATTGTGGCGGTGACACGGGCCGAGCGGTAACGCGTTCGCTGCTCGACTCGAGCCCACGGGCGCCTTCGGCTAATTTACCACGGGTGTGTTCGCCGTAAAAAAAACCACGACGTGCCATCTGGTTCACGGTGAACTTCAAGGATTCCGTGACGCCGATCGAGGGAAGAGGAGAGGCCACGTGTGCCCAGGTCATGGTTCAAATTTTCCGAATGTGAATAATTACTCGCACGGTGCTCGATTGGGAAACACGAAGCGACCATCGCGCCCTGTCTGCGAATTCTTGACTCCTTTTTTTAAATAATAATGACAACAACAATCAATAACAATAATAGCATTAATCAATAATAACATAAAACAATCACGGCGGCTGACGTCCACCCGGGGTTCGATTTGTTGGGGGTGAAAAGTGGCGCAGCCAGCCCCACTTCGGCGGGCACCCTGAGCCAGCTGCCGGGGACGGTGCCACGCTCCGACCTGAGCACCTAGCGCAGAAGGACCCTTGGAACCAGAGGTCGCAAACGGGTTTTGATTCCTAACCCGTACCCGTACCCGGCCGCACCAGGGTCGCAAACGGGTAGGGTACGGGTATCAGGTACCTGATTGCGACCTCTGGGATGAAGCCATGTTGCAGGCGCGGGTGGGTTGATTCTAGGTACTTGAATCGTGAGAGGAGACAAGACGTTGGGAAATGAGTGACAAACAGTTACTCACCAGTGACTCACGGCCTACCCGTACCCGGCCGCACCAGAGTCGCAAATGGGTACCCGTACCCGGCCGGGTACGGGTAGCCGGGTATCCAGTAGGGTACGGGTATCGGGTACCCGGATGCGACCTCTGCTTGGAACCCCCCACCCCCGCCGATCCGCGGCAGAAGGTGGGGTGCGGGGGGCGGCTGTCCGCCGCACAAAGACTCGGAATTCGCACCGGAATCCCTTTGTCCACCCGCTGGAGAAACGTCAACCCCCGCTCCGCTTAGCCGAGCGGCATTTGGTTTCGGCGCTTTGGCGTCGGCGCGCCACCGAGATGCGGCTCGCGTACGGCACGAGCCGGCACGTCGCCATCGATGTCTCACGGACGTGAAGCCGACCGTGCAGATGCGAGCGACGGACCGTCTTGCCGCGAACATTCAGCACGAGAGACGCTTCACGGACATTCCCTTTCGGCGCTGTCTTAATTCAGCCTCACTATCATCTTTTTTTTTGTACGATCAGTGGAAACAAGAAGATGCTCGGTGTATTCGGCACTTTGTTTCGTTCTTCATTTCGTAAAATGTTTTTTTTTTTTTACGGGGCTTTATGTAACCCTCGCTCGCTCTCTCTCTCGCTAAATCTCTCGCTCACTCGCTCGCTCGCTCGCTCTCTCGCTCGCTCTCACTATCATCAGCCATGGCCAATGCACTGCTGGATGAAAGCCTCCCTAAGCCATCGCTTGCGGTTCTGCGATGTAACATCGTTCATTCAGACACACTTTTCTAGTCTCTCAATTACTGTAATATTACACATATATACAGGGAAAAAACACACGATGTTACGTCACCCTGTTGTACACTGTAATTTATAAATATCTAGATAGTATGGTGGACAGCGGTGGTCTAGCGCCGAAAGCACTTTACTATGAATCCGACCACCTAAGTTCGATTCCCGACCAGGGCTCACGTCTTGGCACTCCCCCCTCCTTCACCAACCCGCGCCGCTCGGCACGCTGAATAGTGTGGTCATCCAACCCCCTGGATTGCCCGGTAACTTCTTGCTGTCTTGCTAAACGACAGACAGTAGAGACTAAAAACAAACGCCGGTCGGGTTACACATCCTGTTGGCCTTCCCGGCGCGCCGTGATCGCCGCACCTGCGCACCCCACCCTGCTCGCGGCTCGCCGCCGCTATTGTTTGCCCGCGGCGTGCGAGCCGCAATGCTTTCCTGCTGCCACTGTTGTGGCGTTACCACCACCACCACTCGCTTGCACCGCCCTTCCTACTCCACCGCCCCCCCCACCACCACCACCAACCACCACGGCGTGTGGCGGTGTGGTCATCGACGGTGCCAAAAAGCTCGCCCGGTACAGTGTCACCGCGTGACACATGGTGACCCTCCGCCAAGTTGGCTCAGCAGTGGCGAGATGTTGACTACCTCGCCCGGTATACAGGAGGTCGTGGGTTCGATACCAGACCCTGGGAGATGTTGACTACCTCGCCCGGTACACAGGAGGTCGTGGGTTCGATCCCTACCCTGACGCCTGCTGTATATTTGGAGTTTTAATGTCTCTATCCATGTGGTTGCATGGATTTTTTATATCCGGGTACTCCGATTTTTTCCTACATATTTAGAATCGACGTGTGTTTAGATTATTTGGCTGCTATAAATTTCCACACGATAAGCCACTTCGTTGAGTCATCCTTTGTGGCCAGGTCACTTCTAAAAAAGAGTTACATAGCTCAGTGGGCCTTACCTAGTAAAATAAAAAGAATAGTCTCAAAATAGTTTCATAAAAAGAATAGTTTCAAATAGTTCCATAATTTATAGTTGTCGCCAACACAAGAGCATCTTAGGATTCAGTCCCTGAGAACTTTCTCTTACAGCTTGGGTGTTCACGCAATTTCTGTCCGAAATCACGAGCGAAATGAAAAGAGCGCCTTATTGACGCGCGCGGGCGCACGTTATTACGGTGATTGACTCCAGTTTTAGACACGGCGATGGTTTGGCAGACGCACGCGGAACTTAAATGCACCATCCCAGCACGGATGAAAAAGTCACAGATTCAGTGCGTCCCACAACGTGGTGATTGGCGAGCGAGCGTGCCTCCCGTACCGGGGAAGGTGGACGATTGACTTCTCTCTGAATGACAGTTCTGATTGGTTGATGTACTATGTCAAAGTAAAATGCCGCTAGTGTACAGTAATCAAGGGTTATTATGGATAGGCGTAACCTTATACTCTCGTGGTTGTACCTTAAGCTGACAACACACATGATTTCATGTTAATAATTTATGTAAATGGGATGCACATTGCTGCCGTTACACAGGTTGTAGGATTACGGCGCGAACCAAACTGTTGAGGCAACCCAGAACCGAATGGAATAAAAACTCGACGAGTATTAATTTTTAATCAAATTGTGGCCCAGAATTGCGATAATCGATCGGCTCTCTGGGGCAGTGAATCGATGGAACCGTGCCGCCCGGAGACCGGCGCGGTGCCCCCCCCCCCTCCCCCTGGGGCACATCGTCTCCTCTCGCACGCGGCCCCGCACGGCACTCAGAGGGCTCCCTCGCCCACCGAGCGAACGCCGCTAACGATCTCACTCGCTGTCAGACACCACCGATTCATCGTTAGGACGCGTTAAATGGTTTTAGGTTTGATGTGTTTGGTTTGTTTTAATGACCCTTACTCACACATTAACTGTTTTAGTAAGTGCTTGGAGTGTATTTTCCAGCGCATGCTGCTGCGGTCGTATCTTCATGTTCGAATAATCAATGTTTGCGGGTTCACGACCGGCGCACTGCTCCATGAATCTAACGGTCTGAGTTAGATACCCATCCAAGGCTAACTTCAGCGGCGAGTGACGTCTGAGCTATTCGACGACTGTTAGGGTGAAGTATGGTGTAAATACGCCTTGACTGGCCAGAGAGGGTGGTGCACTCCAAGATTGCCGTGCGCCGCCATGTGCCCCGTTGGTACCGTGCACACGAGACGCTGCCCAGGCGCAGTGGGCACTGTTGGGGCCGAGCTTCAACGGGTGGCAGGGAGTCGACAGCACGGATGTCTGGGGCAAGGGTAGTTCAAGACCAGGGGTCGGCAGCCAAAATAATAAGAGGAGCCATTTTTTTCAAATTGGGTAAAAAAAATCTCGATGATTATGAGATGGTGGTGCTTCTTGATAAATAACATCACGAAGCGGTCCTTAAAGAGCCGGCTCCAGAGCTGCAGGTTGCCGACCCCTGTTCTAGACTAAGGGCGCAGCACAGAAGATTGATCGTTTGCGCCCCCACATCCAATCTTGACCCGGTCCCAGGAGGACCTCGTGCTGGAGGAGTACAGCGAGCGCGTGGAGAGGCTGCCCACGGGCTCGCTGCTGTCCGGCGGGGTTTCCCTCGCGGCCGCCGCCGGTGCCGTTGCCGCCTCCGCCACCGTCGACCACAACTGCAACCACCAGCCGCAGGTGCCCACTCGCGCCTTCGCCCGTCGGGAACCGGTGAACGCGCCGTGCAGTGCAGTTCAGACTCAAAAGTGTCTGCAGCAAGAGTGAACTGGCTCAACGAGTTGGCGACGGAACCTGTCTCCCCATCCCGGCGCGATTCACCCACGGCCGAAGTGCTCTCGCCGTGTAGCTCTGCGACGCGTTTTCGGGTCGTGCCGTCCGGTGCGATGTCCGACGTTTTGCGCCCACGTGCTCGGAGCATCTTTGCTGACAAAGCTCACGGCACGTGTGCCTCCACAGACACTCCGTGGCCTCCTGGAGGAGCTGAAGCTTCTCCTGGACGAGGCGGTCTTCGAGCACGAGGCCCTGTCAGCTAGGCGCGGTCAGGCGAGCGGCACGGCCCGGTCGGAGGCCCTGGAGGAGGGCCGCCGACGGCCCCCTTGGGGCCTCCTGGAGCAGGAGCAGCAGAGCAAGATGAGGGTGCTGGCCGACCTCCTGCACTGCCGCGACATCTCGGGCCCGGTGAGAGGCGGCTCGTTGGGTTGTCTTCCCATGTTGTCTATTTCAGTGGAAAACACCGGTGTACATGAGGACCTTTGCATTATTATTTTTGTTATCAAGGACTTGAAATACCAAAGCAAGCCTGTGTTGTGCTTTATTAGGCCCTGTGGTTTTCATTTATAATCGGAGACTTGTGGTGATAATTCCAGTCCCAGTGAGACTAAAGCGAGTTTGTCCGCATCGTGTACAATAGTTTGTATAGAACACCTAGTGTAATTGAGTAAATATCAACAGTGGGAAGACAAAGGTGGCCGGGTCTGGTTACACCACTACCTCCGGGCATCACGCGCACGATTCGCCGCACGTTGTCGTTACGTGTCGGGTATACAAGTCATCGCTCGTAGCAGCTCACGTTTGCCAGTGGGCTGATGTTTCAGGCAATTACCCTACAGCAATCGGTCTCCATGAGTGACACGGCATGGGGAAGTTTTGATCCAGCGGTGGAATGACAATGGGCTGTACACTGTTGTTGTTGTTGTTATTCTATTATTGCACATGATGGCAGCAGCAATATGTGCAGGAGCTAAATTCCAGCGTCGAGTTCGCCAGGACGAGTGCCCTTCAGAAGAGAGTTAATTCCTCTATGGAAGGAGCGCAGACTGCTCCTTCACCGGAGGTGTTCCATACTACGGTACCGTATGGTAAACCCACTGTGGCCTCTGCTCCTTCACGGGAGGTGTACCATACTACGGTACCGTATGGTAAACCCACTGTGGTCTCTGCTCCTTCACCGGAGGTGTACCGTACTATGGGACAGTATGGTAAACCCACTGTGGTCTCTGCTCCTTCACCGGAGGTGTTCCGTACTACGGGATAGTATAGTAAACCCACTGTGGTCTCTACTCCTTCACCGGAGGAGCAGGAGACAGTACTGCTGTGAGCGTGTGCCTTGGCTGGCGAAACCTGGCCATATTGATCCGATGTCATCCCGCTGTGTAGCGGCCTACGTGAGCAGCACTGTAACGAAGCCCTCCTGACCGCCAGCCGACATCGCTGAGCGGCGCGGCACGTAATTATTCGAGTAAAAAAATATATATAAGTGGTGCTTGGCGCCGAGTAATTTGACATTAAAGGCCGCGGGTGAGATTGCATAACGGAGTGGGGGGGGGGGTGGTGCGGATGGCGATTAATTTGGCGCTGATAGGACTGGCGGAGGTGCGTGTGGCGGTAATGCGTGTGCCAAATAGGGAGCTGGGTGGAGCTGACAGGAGAGTGATTAGGATGCTAATTGGATCAAGCAGCAGGACATGTCAGTGGGATAGACTCGCTAATGACTGAGATTAGTCGGCCGTTGTGTGCAGGGGTTTAGTGCCTGCCCTTTAACGAACCCCACCGCAGTCACCGATTGACGGACCGCCACGCGCTACGCTTCTGGAGTTTGCATTTCTAACATTTTTAAGGGACGCGAATCTCCGTTCATGCGGAGAGTTCACTTGAAACAACGCTCACGCCTCTTCTGCTGAAAATGTTATCACGCCGAAAGGACGGGAATGTGCACCTCAGGAATGAGGAATGTCCACCCCTGTCACCCAACTCAGACGATAACCACCGAGCCCAGCAGTGGCTGGACACGCGCACACCTTGCACGAGCACAGTCCTGATCTAGGCAATGCGGGATTACGTTTCACTGGTGGCGGCAGGCCAAAGGTAACCATGGAGACGAGCACGCCGTGCTGGCACAGCTGTCCGTGCTCCCCGAGGGCCGTGCTCGTGCACAGCCGTTGCTCTGCTCGTCGGAGGAAGGAGACTGACATTTCTCTAACCGACTGTGCGGGGAGGGACGCGCTTGCTGGGAATTCCACCGAGGGTTGAGGGAAGAGGAGCGCACGGTTTGGGGACACGCACGAGGGCCGCTCGCGAAGCAGAGGTCTCGCTCGTGCTGGAACGGATGATGGCTGATGGACAGGACTGGTGATTGCATGGCAACCAAGGGAGAGAATGCACTTTGGAGGATGACCACCACGGAGATGAGATACGTCTGTGTGCGTGTGTGGAGCAGTGGTGCGATGCTTAGTGCACCGTGGTACGGACCGAGCAATTTGAGTTCAATCGTCAGCAATGGCTCGCGTCGGTGCCATCAGTGGCGATCGGTATCTGAATCCCAGGCCTTCCCTGAGCTGAATTAAATAGCTGGCTCGGTGTGCAAGCATCAGCACTGGGGAGACAAGAGAGGCTGGACTTGGCATTGGTCACGCCGCTCACTCGTGCAACCGCGCTGGCCTTGATAGGCGCTCACGAACAGCACCTGCCCCGACGGTCCATACGGCCACGTCGCGATCGTTTCACGAAGCGGATTGTGGCATCGGCGGGGCCGTGAGCGAGGGCCTTCGTCCAGCAGCGGACGATGGCCGTGACGGCCGACGAAGGCGAGTACCGACTTTACCCCCCCGTGCGCAGGTGCCGCTCGCCTCGACGTCGCCGCTGGAGGAGGCGTGGGGGCCGGGTCGGCCTCCGCCGGCTCCCCGCGTGGCGGTGGTGGCGCCGCGGGTGGCAGCGAGGCTCGGACGCTCGGCCGGGGGGGGCGCCGGCGACGGAGAGGTGAAGCGTGGCGGCCCCTCGCGATCGCGCCCTCACCCGCTATTCACCCCTCTCGCTCATCCTTGATCAGCACGAAACCATTTGCCTTCTCTCACTCCCCCACTAAAAGTTCGATGAATTGTCACCGCTGGGTGGAAAGGTGGACGGGGGGGGGGCTGGAAGGGGCTGACCTCCCCCCCGCGCTGAATTCTTGTCATCAATTACCGCACCTCCAATTAGCACGGCTGGCTACGTGCTGTGCGAAAGAAGTTCAACGTGCATACGTTGAACCTCTGGTTACGTCCAGCAACATCGGCTGCTTCTGCTGCTGCTGCTGCTGATTCTCATCCCAGGTACAGAACGGTGTTGAGCACCATGGGGAGGGGACGGTGGAGGAAGAGGTGGAAGAAGACGGTGAGGAGGAGGAGGGGGAAGAGGAGGAGGAGGGGGAGAGGCCACGGGACCCCGAGTGGAAGTGTTTCTCCGCGCTGCGGGCGGCGTCGTGCCGCCTCGACGCCGTGGAGGAGGCGCTCCTCCTGCCCTGGGCGGACGGCGACGAGGAGCGGGAGGCGTGGCTGGAGGAAGAAGAGGTGACGATTCGGCGAGGGGCACAGTTGTTGTACGGTTTACACCTCGTGTTCATTCTGCACCGGAGTGAAATTGGACAATGATGATGATGATCCTCATGATGACAGCACTAATTATGATGATGATGATGATGACAGTAATGATGATGATTATAATGATGATGTTGAGGTTGGTTATAATGATTGTAGTGATTATGACAAGGTTGATGATGATGTTGTGGGTAACATTGAAGATAGGATTTTTGATGATGATGAAAAAATTGACGACGATTCGAAGGTTCACGTTGCTGATGGACGCTTGACGATTTCGGCGGTGATGATGATCATGCAGACGACAAAACAGAGGACGACCGTAGTAACAATAACGATGATAGCAACGTTGCTCGCGACGAGCGGCCTAACAACGGCAAGCGTGCTACCGAGCCGCACGGCGGCGGTCCTCGCCTCACCTCGACCTCCGACCCCGTGTGCGTCGGCCCTCGGCCACGGCAGGAGCTGTGCGTCCACCTGGCGGAGTTGGACCGCGAGTTGCGCCACCGCTCGTGGGAGGACGATGCGGCGAGCGAGCCGGGCCCGGGCGACGCCGTCGCCGCCGCTGCCACGAGGAGGGGCGTGCAGCTGCGGCTGGGCGCCCTGGAGGCCGCCTTGCGGGCCAGCTGCTCGGCCCTCAGGGACGGGATATCCAGAGTCGCTGAGCACCAGGTGCCAAGGCCACTTCGTCATCATTACCGTGATCATCACCATCGTCGTCATCTCATCACCGTCATCATCATCATAGCCATCATCATCACCGTTGTCATCATCATCTCATCACCGTCATCATCATCATTGCCATCATCATCATCACCGTTGTCATCATCATCTCATCACCGTCATCATCATCATTGCCATCATCATCATCATCACCGTTGTCATCATCTCATCACCATCATCATCATCATTGCCATCATCATCATCACTATCGTCGTCATCATCTCATCACCGTCATCATCACCGTCGTCATCATCTCATCACCGTTGTCATCATCATCTCATCACCGTCATCATCATCATTGCCATCATCATCACCGTCGTCATCATCATTATCATCATCACCGTCATCACCATCATCATTCCAATTTTTTAACAGCAGCTACCAATAAATGGCTTTTTGTGTTTAGTTTGCTGTCCTTCCCCCGCACCTCCGATGAGCACGGTTGGCTACATACAGTGAGAAAGAAGGTCACCATACACGCAGCAGCAGCAGCAGCTGATCGATGTGGCCCCGAGATCTCACGCGGGTCACGACGCGCGCTCTGACGTGGCTGGGATGAGGACTCCAACTTCGCAATTGGCGAGAACAGGCGCACTGGTCAACAGGCGCACTCGCCGTGCACGGACAAAGGGGAAGCCACTGGGACGGAAGTGACTCACTCGGAGCCCAGCAGAGACCGGGGTTCCTCCCGAGATGAAGGCATTTGTTTGCAAAGGAAAGATAGCCCCTGTGATGTTGCTTGTGATCAACGACTCGCCTTGCTGGCATGACAAACACACCGGTAGATGGCAGGTTTTCACAGCAGGTTTAATTATTATATTTTTCGAAGGGCTGGTGATGATACGGTGATGGTGTGGTGCGTGTCTCCGTGCGGTGACGGTGTGGTGCGTGTCTCCGTGGGGTGACAGTGCTGTGCGTGTCTCCGTGTCTGCGCTGCAGAGGGAGGTGGCGGCGCTGCAGAACGCCGTGTCAAGCGAGCGGCGCTCCGTTCAGCGCAAGCTCCAGCACTGCGCTGACCACAGCCCCACTCAGCAACTGGAGGCATGCGGTTGCACCACAGGGGCGCACGCTGAAGGCGGTGATGCGCGAGGGCGCTCCCTTTCCTTCTCGCTCCATATTTATCCCGAGTGTGCGTTTGGCGTCACGTCGCTATAGAGACGCCATTCAGAACGCTCACAGGAGTGCCGTGAGGCCACGTGATGCGTGGATGGTTCACTGACAGGCGATCACGGAACCCAGGTGTTACGGGTTAACTGACTGACATGACTGGCAGATGCACCTTCCGTGCTCCCTGCTGCACTTACTTGCTGTATTTTAGCCGACCGATGCTCCGCTCGTTGTTGTGAGCATTGCTCCTCCACCCTCCATTGTTGCTGGAGGGCGACTGCCTCCGACTGCCTCTTCTAAAGACAAACATCCCCCACGTAGCCTTTTGGGGGCAAGTGCTGCGGAGCCTCCTGTGCACGCGCGCCGTGTGCCAGACGGCGCAACTGCCGTGCGGCACTGACTCGGTCCCACGTGCCTCTCCGCCAGGTGCTCAGAGAGGTGGCGCGGTCCCTGGACAGCCTGAGAAGCCAAGCGGCGCCGCTCCGGCAGCGCCAGCTCGAGGCTAAGCCCACGTCGCCCGCTGGCACCGACCTGGCGCGCATCGAGGTTGGTGCTCGGGAGGCCCCCAGTCCTGGTTTCCCCACCATCGTCCTCTTGTCATTCTATTGAGGGAGGTAGCTGCCCTGGGGAGTCTCTAAATCTTCCCACTGTGTCTCTCCCTTTCTCTCCATCTCCCTTTCTCACAGCGCACACTGTCTTATAGCCTCATGGGACACTCTGTTTCCCTGTCTCCCCGTCACTCCATCTCACAGTCCCACGGGACACCGTGTCTCCTTGTCCCGCAGCACATGCTCGAGACGCTGGAGGAGGACGTTCACGGGCGGCGGCATGCCCTGACGCGCGCTTGCGCCGTCGACCGGCGCTACGAGCAGGAGCTGCGGGCGCTGCTGATGCTCGTGCGTCTCGCGGACGAGCGGCTCCTCTCCGCTCCCCGGCTGCTGCTCGCCGCCGCAGACCTCGAGCATGCGGAGCGGCAGTGTCTGGCGCTACAGGTGCGTTGCTTTTTGTTTAGAGCCAACGCATTTCTGGGAGGACACGTGGTGAGATGGGCATGAGACTCGTAAAATGTAAATCGGAATAAAATAAAAAAAATTCGTAAATGCCGTGGGACACTGGGAAAAGCTTTACTGGAACCCGAGCTGCCCCAGCCAAACCATGACGTCTGGCATCGGTAGATATATACTGTATATATACAGTGCATTTTTTACTGTATATACGTGTACTGTTGACGTGAAGTGGCGGTGGTGAGCGCACATGACGCAGCTGCTCCTCCATGAGGGTCGGTAACGCGGCGTCGCGACCTCCACGCAGGAGTTCTTCCGCCGGCTGGAGGAGCGGCGCTTCGCGGTGGAGGAGTGGGTGCGCCGGGCGTCGGGGCGCCGCGATGCCGCGTGGACGCGGCTGCAGGCTCGCCTCGACGCGCAGCAGGAGAGCCTCCGAGCCGGGGTCGCCGATCATCGCTGGATCATCCAGGTGTGGGGACCTCTCGTTACGATCGCATTTGTGTTTCCCTCGATCCAGCGCAACGGCTCACCATTCGCTTTGTCCCCGCTGCCCCGCTGGCACTCGTCAGGGGTGGCGGCAGCTGGAGCGGGAGCACGAGGATCTGAGCCAGCAGCTGGAGCACGCCGAGGGCTCCATGGTGGCCCGCGGGGTGGTGGAGGAGTCGGAGGAGTGGCTGTCGGACCGCATCGCCGCTCTCCTGGTGAGCATTGGAAAGATCCGGCAACGACGGTACTCAAAAGCCACTTGCTGTCCTGCCATCTGCGCTCACCTTTGTATGCAGCCTGGCGAGTTTGTGGGTCTCACGGATCGCTGCACGGTCCGCCGGACCCTCGCCTCCCCAAGCGTCGGATTGCGTGCGCCACCACGCCCGGCTCGTTCCCTTCCCAGCGTAAATTCCGTCGCGCGTCTCTCCTCCTCCTCGCTCGGTCATCACCCCCCACGCAGAGACTGCGGTCGCACCTGGACGAGCACCTGCCCCGGGTCTCGCAGCTGCTGGCGGACGGCAAGCGGCTGCACGGCCTCCTGATGGCGCGGCTCAGCTCGGCCGACAAAGCCGCGCGGGCCGGGCGCGACGACGGGGATCCTGCCGAGGCGACTCTCCGGATTTCCGGTGAAGGCGAAAGGTCGCCGGCCGCCCCTGCGTCGGACGGCGGCCCCGAGGGGCGCTCAGCGCCAGAAGGCGAGCCGGGAGACGGGGCCACGCACCCGACGGCTCTCGCGCTGGGCCTCGCTGCCGGGCCGGGCCTGACGTGCCACCTCGAGGGCTTCGGCCAGCGCTGGGCCGACTGCGGCGGCCGTTTGGGCACGGAGCTGCGTCGACTCCAGGCCCTGCTGGCGCACCTGACGCGGTACGGCGATCGCGAGTCCGCGCCGCGCTCGCCGCAACGCCGCGGCGGCGTCTGGGAGGGGCCGGCCGATACGACGCCGTTGTTAACGCGCCGCTTCCTCTCGTTTGCCCTCACCCGCCGACCACCGTTCGCGCCGAAGGTTCCGCTGCGAGTGCACGGAGCTGCTGCTGTGGCTCGCCGAGTCGCGGGGTCAGCTGGACTACTGGAGCAACCAGGCGGACACGGTGGCTCACGAGCCGTCCACGGCCCAGGAGCTTTTCCATCGGTTCATGGTGAGGACGCGGGTCAGGTGACGCCGCGAGGGTTCGGGCTGTTGGAGTTCAGTTTGTGTGACCGGGTGAGAACTCGAGAGACCAAGATTGACCTGGGTCACTCAAGATCGCTGAAAGCCCAGCTCGCTGAGCAGAGTGAAGGAAATGAGACCCAAAGTGGTTTGGCCAAGGCAAGAGGTCATTAGGCTTGGCCACAGACGCTGAACCACAGGCCCACCGGCCAACAACGCAAAAACAGCCAGCGGTCGAGGGCTCTCATGTCGCTACGTAGCAGATAAGAGCTCGTATGTTTCACAGGGACAGCTGCGATAAGGGGGTCTCAGAGGCTATTAGAAAAATTACTTCTGAGACGTTTATTACATTGCTAGCTTTTTTGTCCATCCAAGGACGAGTGTATATTGCAGTAAATATGAAATATTAAAGAGAAAAATTGTTCAGCTCATGATTATTAATGAGGGGGGGGGGGGTTGCCCCATGCGGAGTGACGTCATGCGCGGGACACACACACATTCTTGGCTTATTATAATAGTAATGGGTGCAATATAAATGCTGTTGTTGGAATTGTTGTTGTTGTGAATGGAGCAAGGTTACAGGAATTTGGGTGACGAGGGTTTGTTTACCGAGAGGTAGGAGGGAGGGGCTGCTGCCTCGCCACCACGTGCGTGTGTGTGTGCATGTGTGTGCGTGTGTGTGTGTGCGTGCGTGTGTGTGCGTGCGTGTGTGTGCGTGTGCATGTGTGTGCGTGCGTGTGCGTGCGTGTGTGTGCGTGTGTGTGCACGCGTGTGCGTGCGTGTGTGTGCATGTGTGTGTGTGCGTGCGTGTGTGTGCGTGTGTGTGTGTGTGCGTGCGTGCGTGCGTGTGCGTACGTGTACATGTGTACGTGCCGTGCGGCGCTACTGCCCGTCCCGCCAGGCGTTTGTGCACGAGGCCAACGTGAAGGCGGCCCTCAAGGCGGCGGTGGTGGCGGGCGGCACCCGACTGCTGCAGCTGCAGCAGGGCGAGGCGACGGCGCCGAGGACGCAGCTGGCGCAGCTGGAGACGGCGTGGGCCGAGCTGACGGCGCGCGTGCCGCTCGTGCAGGAGCGCCTGCACCAGGTGAGCGGCGCCCGCGTCCCCCCGCACGCGGCAGTCGCGCCCCCTCGCCGCGTCGTTACCGGCGGTGCCGCCACCGCCGTCGTTGTTGTCCCCAGCGACGGCAACGGCAGCGGCAGCAGTAGCCACGTCTGAGTCATCATCATCATCATCGTCGTCGTTGTCTTCGGCAACAGCATCTTAAGTTTCACGAAGAATCCATTGCCGTGCTGCCGTCTTCAGGCCACTTCACAGCCAGCCCCAACCCTATGGCACACGCCCGCATTGGCAAGCGGCCCCCCACGCAAGCACCGACAAGGCCGGCAGTGTCAAGTCAGCATCTTGTATCCGGGTGGGATAACTGGATTCCCCCACCCAGGAACTAACGAAGCCAGGCGGTCGCAGTGTCTGCACCATCGTCGATATAGAAGGCAGCCGAGCCTCCAGCAGGGAGGGGGGAAGGGGGAGGCTCGGTCCCCCTTGACGCTCCGGGGCTGACGTGAGCCGTGCGTGTCCCCGCAGGCGTTGGTGGCGTGCCGCCCGTCGTGCCAAACCATGGCGGAGCTCCTGGACTGGGTGGACGAGGTGGAGCGGAGGCTCGCGAGCGACGGAGACGAACTCTCCGGCCTGGTCGGCGCGGCGCCGCTCAGGGTTCTGCTCGACGAGTACAAGGTACCGACCGCCGTCGAGCCACGCGTCGTCCGGCACGGATTCCCGGCCGTTCCGCAACGCGTGCCGGCAGCCTGGGTCCCCCGCGTGCGGAGCGTCCTGGGAGCTCGTAGTTCATCGGAACGAATTGCCATCCTCGCAGACGCTTGTGTCGGCAATCTCGTTCCGCAGTCGCTCATCCGACAAGCTCAGGGCGTTGCGAAGTTCTCTTCTGCATGGAGTGACAACGCTGTAGGACGCGAGCGGATGCCGCAGAGTGCGAAGAGTTCCTAATGCGAGCCCGCACGAGGCCGTCCGTGACGGGTGCCTGTGAACGCATGCGTGCATACCAGACGGTGCCTGATGGGTCCACTTCCTCATCTAATTACTTTTATTTCTTGCTGTGATTGCCAGCGTGAAAAAGGCCTCCAGCCTCCCACCTGACAACCCCCTCCAGATGCCTCCATCATCCCCTCCGTGAGCCCACGTCAAAGCGGGCCTTGAAGTTAATCCGGCGGCACAAATCCCCGGCACAGACCGCTTCATCAGATGAAGCCCTCTCACTCGGCCGTCGCGGTTCTGCATATTTTTCATCAGCATCGCTTCAAATCCCATTACGCCTCTGAGACGAGAGGCGAGCGCGCGTGTGCGTGAGCGAGCGCGCGTGTGCGTGAGCCAGCGAGCGAGCGTGTGCGTGAGCGAGCGAGCGCGCGTGTGCGTGAGCGAGCGAGTGCGCGTGTGCGTGAGCGAGCGAGCGCGCGTGTGCGTGAGCCAGCGAGCGTGTGCGTGAGCGAGCGAGCGCGCGTGTGCGTGAGCGAGCGAGTGCGCGTGTGCGTGAGCCAGCGAGCGCGCGTGTGCGTGAGCGAGCGAGCGCGCGTGTGCGTGAGCGAGCGAGCAAGCGTGTGCGTGAGCCAGCGAGCGCGCGTGTGCGTGAGCCAGCGAGCGCGCGTGTGCGTGAGCGAGCGCGCGTGTGCGTGAGCCAGCGAGCGCGCGTGTGCGTGAGCGAGCGAGCGCGCGTGTGCGTGAGCCAGCGAGCAAGCGTGTGCATGAGCCAGCGAGCGAGCGCGCGTGTGCGTGAGCGAGCGAGCGCGCGTGTGCGTGAGCGAGCGCGCATGTGCGTGAGCGAGCGAGCGTGTGCGTGAGTGAGCGAGCGCACAGCAGCCGTTGAGCACTGATAGCCGTGCGCTCGCGCTGCCAGCGGCAGAGCTGTTCCTGCACGATCGTTGCTCCCGGCAGTGCCGCTGGCCACGGCTCCGTGCTGTGTTAATCCCGGCTAAAGCTTCGGGGCAGGTATGGTTCGATACAATAGTTTCATCCTCGTCATCAGACATGGTCAATCCACTGCTGGATGGAAGTCTCCCCAAGTAGACGCCACATCCCAAGCCGACGCCACATCTCAATAATCCGCCCAGCGCAAGCTGCACACGAGAGCTGATTTCATCGCTGAATGATCATCCTCACAGCCACATACGCCACCAACAATCCCATTCTGTTTTTCTTCGTCTTGTCAATCGCACGGCTGGTTTTCAATAGAGATATAAACAAGATAAAACGTAAAGAGTTTTTTCTCTTCCGTGTTCTCTGCAATTCTCTTGTTTGATTCATTCTGAGAAACCTGTCGCCTCCGCTATGTGAGGGTTATGATTGGATCTGCAGCTCATGACACGACCAGGATTACAGTTGGGGTAGAGGCCGACGTTTGCTGGAACCCACCAGACAACGAATCCGGGAGCCGGTTGCGCGCGATTAAAGTGAGCTCTCCAGTAGAGAATGAGTTCATAATAAAGGTTCTTGGGTTGCGTCGTAACCCTGCACCAACCGACACAGCCAGTAAGGTTTGTCACGTAAACAACTCGCCAATTGGTTACTGCACCTAAAGGGTTCAGTGATGATGTCGTCATCCTGCTCTGTTTAAGACGGGAAGCAGGTGGATTGCTTCACTATTCTGGCAAATCGTCCCATGATGTTGGATGTAATTACCAGCGAAATGTCACGTGACTCAAATTGTAAATGTTGCGGATTTACTCTCCAACACACCGGTGGGCTGAAGTAGTTACTAATTGGTGCGTTGATTACTTACGCGATATAACCCAAAAACCTTTATTATGAATAATATTGGTCGCGAAAGCATACATGTTAAACTGAGAATGAGTTGATGATGGTCTCAACCCAGGCACCAATTATTATGCAAAACGATCATCACACCAAATGTGGTTTTCACCTAATTTGGCAACGTTTTAGCTCTGAGAATGAAATAAGACTTCACGCGAACGTGTGGTGAACATCGCTGTCGCAGGGCGCATGCTGAAGTGCAGTGCCTCTTGCAGGGATCTCGGAAGTAGTTCTGCAATATACACTTCAGAAGGCCGTTCTCTCACATTGCTTGATGCGCGGCTCCACAAGAAATTGACACTTCCTTCCGCTGCACTATGGGGGGGAAAAAATAAAGAATACAGAATCACTTGTGACAACATCAAGTACTGCACGGATTTCTCTGCTGACCTCCCGTTCCCACCCATGGCCACTTGTGGCCTGTGAGAGCCCGAGGGAGGCTCAATTGGCCACGTCTCGTGGCGTGACTCCTGGACCATCTGCTCACTGCTGGTCGCTGTGTGTGACCAAGCACACGTGTTTGGGGAGTGGGAGTGCAGTGGTTCGTGCATCGCGCTACGAACCAAGCGAACCGAGTTTAATCCCCGCTCAATAACAGTGGCGATATTCCTGGGCCTCCTCTAGTGTGACTCAGCCTTGAATGAGTACCTCGTCCAGTGTGTAAACATCAGCACTGGGGAGCCAAAGGCGACCGGGCGTGCTGTTGGCCACCCACCCCCTTGTGCGCCGTGCCGACTTTAATACGTGCTCGCTAACCCCCCTCGCCCCAACGGTCTGCTCGTGCACCTTGGTTTGTGTTTCGTGACGACGCAGGGCTTGACGCTGGACACGCAGGCTCGCCAGCCGCTGGTGGACAGCGTGAGCCAGGCGCTGCTGCAGCAGCAGCAGGGCGCGGCGCACGTGCAGGCGCGGCGGTGCGATAAGCTGCAGCTGGCCGAGAGCGTGGGCGTGCTGGACCGGCGCTGGCAGGCGCTGCTCGGCCGCCTGGCCGCCACGGTGGGTGGCGCCGACGGCGCGTGCGTTGACGGGGGCGGCGGTGGTGGTGGTGTTGGGTCGACAAATGCTGCCAAGCGCCAGTGGCCCAGAAGTTCCATTGACAAACGGGCATTGGGTGTCAGTTTATGCGCACGTGGTCACGCGCGTTCAAGTGGTTTTGTGTACGGCGGCAAGTCGATCAGCAGCGTTCCGCTGCTCGTGTGGAGGTCGCTGAGCGAGCCGGTGGACGGCTTCAGGAGGAGTGGCCCGAGCAAACATCTGAAATGCTGCCAGGGAATGATCGATGCGGGCGGAGGTGTTTCCGTGTGGTCCGTAGTTTTGTATGTGTATGTTTGTATGTATGTATGCACGTTGACCTTCTTTTACACCGTACGTAGACTCACATGGATATGTATAGGCTTCCATAGACACCCATCGACTCACACAGACACCCATCGACTCATCTTCTTGGTTCTTTCGGTAAAGTCACGTAAAAGGGAAATAATAAAATAATAAAATGTAAACATAATAAAATACAATGTTTCTTTTATTATTATTATTTTATTATTTCCCTTCTACGTGACTTTACCGAAAGAACCAAGAAGATGAATCTCCGCAGTCACGAAAGCTTTAAATCGAAACCCATCGACTCGTATAGAGACTCGCAGGCGAACGATCGATGGGGGCGGCGTCGTTACGACGGTTCGTCGCTCGGAGCGCGTCGAGGGTCGTGCGTGACCGTCTCCGTGTGCCGGCACAGACGGAGAAGCTGGAGACGCGGCTGGAGGCCTGGACGGAGTGGGAGGCGCAGGCGCGCGCCGTGCGCGACTGGCTGGAGGCGCAGGCCGCGGGGCGACTGGCGGCGCTGCGGCAGTGCCGGGGTGGCGGGGCCACGGCGACTCTCGCGCTCGGCGCGTGCTCGGTGAGGCCCCCGCGCCGCCGCGTGCCGCTCGAGCCGCCATCTTGGTTGACCATGGCCCCGTTGTAGAGCACAACGAGACTCCGTTGGCTTAACAGAGACATCCGGTCGTAGTTAATAATAACGGCAGTTAAAAACTATTGGCGGCTATGAAAGGATAATGGCGAAACAAAAAATTGTGTTTGTTTTGAATGTGCATCATTAGACATAATTGTTTAATATTTAATTGTAATAGTATGAGAATAGGTTTTCCCTTTTTTCTGGCAACAAAACAGGTGTTAAGATGTTAAAACACCAAACTGAAACCTTTTACAAGGAATCATGTCTGCATTAACCACAATGCTTGTGGTCAGAATGCAAACAAAAAACATGCTCTGATAATATATGCATTGTCCTTGAAATTGATTGGTCCACAAAAGAGACAGCTTTCTTTGGAGCCTCGTCTCAAAACGGTGTTAGACCAGAGGACGCCAAAAGGACGCCTTTAGACCAGAGGACGCCAGTTTTGTTGCCAGAAAAAAGGTGAAAACCTATTCTCATATTTTGGTACTGGCAAAGGAGGTCCCAGGTTGTAATATTATTTTATTCACTCATGACAGCTCATCACATCGAAGTTGAAACTGACACTGAAATGTCTGGGGAATACACCACAGCCGGTTGTTAAATGAGCAGCACTGTAATCACACACCAAAAGCCACGTGCAGATGCAATAACACTCCCAGAAGGCCATGCGACTAATGGGATGAGTAAAATCTACTTTTTTCTGCTGCCAATATCAGCGCAGATCCGCTCACGGTGAGCGGTAAGACGTGTCGTGCTGCGTTCGTCAGGAATTGCAGGACAAGCTGAAGGCGCAAGTGGAAGAGGTCGACAAGCTGGAGGTGTGTGGCGGCTCCGTGGTGCCGGCCGACGGGAGGTCCCCCGGGGGTCTCGTCACAGAGACTCTGCGCGAGCTGCGGGCGTCGTGCAGCCGCGTGCAGCAGGAGGTGCGTTGCCACCACCGCCACCGCCAGCTGCTGCTGCTGCGCTAACACGCATCACAAGAATAGCCGGCGCTTACAGCCACCGAGGGCAATTGCCATAGAGGCAGCTAGACAGCGTTCATGATGATGCAAGAGAGGATCGAGACCATCGTTAGCAGCAGTAGCAGCAGCAGCGATGATCAATTCAATGCTGGAGGAAAGCCTCCCCAAGCTGTCGACTATCATGGTCTCGTAGTGTAACGACCCTCCTCGCTTCCGCACACCGGCTGCTCGCATCACTCCACCTGCCACTCCACTGTGAGTCTCGACCGCTGTCGTCCCCTTCGATAATGAGGCCCTTTCCGTGCCAACTCACGCTTCTTAACACTCAACACACAACAGATTATTTCAAAGCCTCTGCATGTCTCCCATCAATCTAAGAGCACTTAGTACGTCATTTAACACTCCCCTGATACACGTTGCCCAACGTGGCCTGTCTTGATTCATCCGAGTATCTATAAGCGGATCGCCCTGTGTTTGTCCACCAGCTGTCGCAGGCCGTGGAGCAGCAGCGGGGGCTAGTGGAGGCGTGGGGGAGCCGAGACGCGGCACACGAGGCCGTGAACCGGGCCTTGTGGGAGGCCTGGCATGGCCTCAGCAGGGCCAGTGTCCTCACGGGGTCTGCCCAGGCTGCCCAACGGCAGACGAGCATCCTGCAGGTGCGTGTGCGGCACGACGACTTGTATGCACGTTTGTTCAACTTCTTTCACACCGTACGTAGCCAACCGTGCTAATGGGAGGGGCGGAGGAAGGACAACAAACTAAAGTTTGGCTGGCCACCAAATTAAACCGCTGTCTGGGCGAGTTGTCGGAATGTAACCATTCACCCACCTCTCCATCCACTCTCCCCCCCCCCCCCCCCCACCATGTGCCATGATTTGTTGAATTATCACGATTCAGGGTTTACAGCTGTATTGAAAAATAATTGTCCATGCTGTCTCATTTGTACAATCTGCCTTGGGCGCATTCCGCATGATGTGGTAGTGAGTAACGATTCATAAATAAACTCGAGCTCGGTGACCCCGATGACCCCGTGACCCCCATGACCTGCGCTTGAGCTCAGCAAGGCCTCTTCGCTCGTCCTTGGCAGCGTTTGCAGGGAGAGGGCGAGCGCAGGGCGGAGCTGCTGCTGGAGCTGGTGGGGGTGACGGGGCGGCTCCGCTTCGCGTGCCACCCGGTGCTGCACGCGCGCCTCTCGCGGGGCCTGGACGATGCGAGGAGGAGGTAAGCAGCGTTCGCTCACGCTTGCGCTCGCGCATTTAAAAGCGCCGTTCTTGACTAGCCGCTCGTAGATCGGTCAGCGGGCCGCAGTCTCCGAGGACTTAACTGCGAATCGCACAGTGGTATGACGGCCAATCGGTTAGCGAGCACCTGTGGTGGTGGTGTAGTTGGTGAGACGAGGTGCATTCTGGGTGAATCGGTCATAGTCCAACGGAATAATCCTACTGCAGCTATTGGGGCTGAAGGGTGGTGTAGTGGTGGCACCCGTGCCTCACAGCCTAAGGCTGCTTTGTTTTATTCCCAACTTAAGCGCCTGTCTGTGCAGAGTTTGTATGTTCTCCCCCTGTTTTGCATGGGTTTCCTCTGGATTCTCCAGTTTCCTACCATAGCTAAAAACAACACACACACACACATAATGTAGCCAGTATTGGCCAAAAAAACATATCCCCATGCTGAAACATAACCTGCATATCACTCAATTGGGATCCAACACAGCAGCAACATCGCCCCCTGCGGAAAAACACTTGTGAGGACCCTTCTGACACTGAGGCTTTGTTTGGTGAAAACTTCAACGATTATAGTTGTTGTTGTGGAAAGATATTATCCTACCTCGTCTGGTACGGAGGAAGGTTGTGGGTTTGATCCCGACACTGACGCCTGTTGTATATTTAGAGTTTTTTTCCCTCCACATTTAGAAACATGCCTTGAATATATATGTATTTTGAACTTGTTTTGCACCATACTTAGCCAATAGTTTTAATCGGATATGCAGGGGAAGGACAACAAACCAAACACAAAAAGCAGTTCTTGAGGATTTGGCTGTTATACATTTCCACATGATAAGCCACTTCCTTCAGCTACCATTTGTGATGGCCAGGTCGCTTCTGAAAAAGAGCTACATAGCTCATTGGGCCTCACCTGATAATGTGAAAATAGTTTCGTTTTAAAACTCCGCTGTCTCTCCACGCGGCGCGCAGCCTGGAGGAGCTGGAGCGGGCCCTCACAGAGGGCCGCGCCCGGGCCGCCGAGCTGCGGGAGCTTTGGGCGGCACTGGGGGCATCGAAGGCGGCGGCCCTCGGCTCGCTGTCACGCCTGGAGGAGGAGGCCGCCACGCTGGGGGCGACCGTCTCCCCCTGGGACCTGCCACTGGAGGAGGCCCACAGCTGGCTCTCCAAGTGCCAGGTGACACCGACAACGCAAACGCTCCACCTCCTCCGACTCCAACCACCAACAACAACAAAACACACGGAGCACGGCGCTGGACAGAGCTTTCTCAGTCACAGCAGCACAACCTCTGGGACAACCCCCAACAAGCAATCCGCACACTCAACAACTCATCTCTTGCACTTGCCCAAATAGATAGTTTGTAAATAAATATATGTTTTATCATGGTTTAGAATCTTTCTAATTTCATGTTGAGTTTGAGTGTTAATGCGATGATAGTGCTTTGAGTGGCAGATTTGTGCCAGAAGGGCACCACTTGTGTAAACAAAACTAACCATGACTTGACTCGACTGGCAACAAAGTGCTTTGTTTCCGCCGGAATGGTCAGCAACGGTCCGAAACGCGGTTTTGGGAAAGCCAGGATGGCTGGCGAGCCTCCAAGGGGTGGTGTACATTTCTGTCTCTGTTGCTGGGCCCCGCTAGGAGATGGAGGCCGGCGCCGATGCCGCAGAGAGCTCGCTGGCGACCCTCTCGGCCCGCGCGGACGAGCTGAGCCAGCGCACGGGCCCCACGGCCGTGGCCCCCGCCCGGCTGGAGGGGGGGGCCCTCACCCACCGGCTGGGCCGTGTGCGGCGCTCGCTGCGCTCCAGCCGGCTCGCACTGCAGGTACCGGCGTGGCTTGATTATCATCATCATTATCATCGAAATCGCTACTCTGTTTCAAGAGGGTCCTGCTGAGTTTTCGCATGTTGCTGCTGCTGTGTGTGATCCAAATTAAGTAATTTGCAAGTGATGTTTTAGCATTGGGATATTTTAGTCAATACCACCGATGGAAGGAAACCAGAGAACCCAGAGGAAACCCATGCAGAAGCGGGGGAGAAAGTCCAAGCTCCGCACGGAGTTAGGAGTCTAACCCAGGGGCTTCTTGCTGCGAGCTACAGTGTCACCACCGCGCCACACCGCTGCCCTTACACAGCGCCGCAGGCAAATAAGAAAGACGAGCCTCGAGCCCGCTTGTTAGTCCAGAGGTGCCGCCAGCGTGGCGACGCCGGTCTGTCCCACGTGGGGGTTCGGCCCCAACCCTTGCGTCTCTCCTGCAGCATGGCAGCAGCGTCCACCGGGGCCTTGTGGATGGCCTGCGGGCGCTGGGGGCCGTGGTGGAGGAGGCCGAGGCGGTGCTGGGGAGCGAGCGGCACGACGCCCGTCCTCCCGGGGAGCCCGGAGGAGCGCACGGCCGCGCAGCGGAGATTAAGGTGCCAACGCAGGGTCCGGCGTCCGCATGTGTTCCGCACGTGTTCGCCTGTCGCTAGCGAGCCACGCACGCGTATGCAAATATAGGCGAAATGCACGTACCCAAGCGAGTTCCCGACATCTACCCACCGGTGGACTGCCGTAGGATTCCGATCGCTCGCGCGTTGTGAATGCATGCTCAAGATCTCCTGGAATGCGCCCGATCTCGGCAGATCTCGGAAGCTGAGCAGGAGTTGAGCCTGGATAGTGTGTGGATGGGCGACAACCACATGCGTAAAAAGGTGCGATAGGCTGTTGAGTTTGCTACGTTGCGGTCAGCAGAGGGCATTGCGGCAAAATCCGTCTACAACCACACGCGCTAGCCAAATAACTCCCACGACCTCGCACGGCATGGGGAGGCCCTCATTCAGCGGCGGATTGCCAAGAGGGCTGTACGTGGACTCTCTCACAGGCAGTATTGTGCTGTCACATTAAACGGTTCCAAGTGGCTCCCTGAGGTTCGGTAGCAGCAATAACCGCGACCCCCGTGACCTTGATCGCTCGGTGCCACCCCCTGCACCCCCCGTGCCTCCCGGGCTCCCCCCGACGATTCCGCTTCAGCTGCAGCTGCTGAGTCTGGCGGCAGCGGTGCCGGCGCTGGAGGCGGCGCGAGCGGATGGGCGCCAGCTCCTGCTGGACGGCAGCGATGCGCAGCACCTGCGAGCGCTGTCCGCGCGCTGGCACCGCACTGTCTCGCAAGCTGCACTCACATCAAGGTTTGTTTGTGTGGGTGTGTATGTGTGGGTGGCTGTGTGGGGAGCGGTAGTGTAGCAGTTAGCGCGCCGCCCTATGAACCCGGGGATCCGAGTTAGATTCCAACACCAGTGACGATTACCTGAATCGGCCCTGGGTCTCCCCTAGGTCTACTCAGTCTCAAATGAGTACCTGGTGCGTTGTGTAAACAACGGGGAGGCAAAGGCGGCCGGGCGTGGTGCTGGCCACACACCCCCTCGTGTGCTGTGCCGGCCTAAATAGGTGCTCGCTAACAGCACTTGCCCCAACAGTTTGTTAAAGCTATAGGTGGGATCTTTGTCTTTGGTGGTGATCACACTGCGCTGTGAAAGGGGAGATCTGAAGTGAATTCCCAGCCATAATTAATAGCAGCGCTCATGTCTCGATGCGTCGGTCAATCTTGATTTGAAGCTTTCGTGACTGCAGGAATCCATACTCTTTGGTTCTTTCGATAAAGTCACGTAGGTAGAAATAGATCACGACGTTTCGAGCTCTCACCTGAAGACAGTCTCATCTGAAGACGGTCGCTTGTGTTGCGATCGAAACGTCGTGATTTATTCTTTTTTCTACCTACGTGACTTTACCGAAAGAACCAAAGAGTATGGAGTCAGGCAGTATCTACAGGATGAGTAGTTTTCTCCACTGTCGAACACAGAGACATCAGCGCCTGTCCATCACAAAAGAAACAAACGAGGATCATTTGATGACGTTCGGTTCCGGGACGCGTCTTCGGGGTCGCGCCACCGCACGTTGTTCGTCGTGACGCCCGAAGTTTTGCACGCGTTGCTTTGCCCTGATGGCGTCCGGCTGCATCTTCATTACCGTCATCATCGTCGTCGTCATCATTGTACCTCTGCGCCCCCCGCCCCATTCTGCAGCCAGCAACAGGGCCAGTGGCTGCAGCGACGGAGCTTCGTGGAGAAGTGCAGGTGCTGGAAGAGGCTCCTCCTGGAGATGGAGCAGAGCCTGGACGTAGAGGAGGCTCCCGGCCTGGAGGACGGCCGCCACGCCAAGGAGAACGGGCAGGCCGCTCCTCGCGTGGACCTCGCCACGCCCGGCGAGCGCTCGTCCCCGCTCGACCGCCACGGGGAGCGTCCCGACGCCGGCGACGCGACGGCGCTCGGCGAGCGCTACGACAATCTGCTGGAGCGGCAGAGGACCGTGGAGGTGCGAGGATGCGTAGATTTTATTTTGACGTGAAAGCCTGTGGCAAGATGTTCGCGGCGGTGGTGGCGGTGGTGGTGGCGGTGGCTGAGACTTCATCAGAATGTCCTGAGGGTGGATTCTGAAATCATTCATCCAATAGTGGATTCTATTCTCGTGATGGCAATATGTTCAGGAGCGAAATGCCAATGTCGAGGTCTGTTAGCCACAAGGGGTTTCCGCAGAGAGGTGTTTTGGTCTTTCTCCGTTGAAGGAGAACCAACTACAGTGGTTCACTATATGGCCCAAAGTTTGGGTCGCTTGGCCACAATCACACTGTGGCTTGTGTTGAATGTATCTCCATGGGTTTCTGTGTATGTCTGTGTGTTTCTACGTCTCTGTGGGTTGCTATGGGTTTACTATATGGTCCATACTTTGGGTTGCATGGCCACAATTGCACTGCTGTGGCCTGTGTCTTAAATATTCAATTTATGAAGGAGATGTACATACCAGAACATCCACAGGCTTTATGAAAGGCTGTTGATCTTTTGATTAACAGGCCTTCATAAAGCCCGTTTATGTTCTGATGTGGTTGATGGTTCCACCAGTGTCTTTGAGGCATTTCGAAGCCAGGAGGTGCGATAATGTCTGGCTTTGGAATGAGGCGTTTATTGTGGACGTCCCCGTTGATCCACTCTGTTGGCTAGCAGCATCCTTCCGGATCTGGGTGAGATTCCAGGATGGTATCAACAGCAGCAGAAGCGATCCTAAGAAGGGGGGGATCGGGCTTTGAGTTGGCGGCACGTTCGTTAATTCGAACAGTGGATTGATACTGGGGGACGACGGTGGTGGTGGTGGTGGTGGTTGTGTCCAGTGCCTCCTGGTGAAGGTGCTGAGTCAGCAGGCGCTTGTGCAGGAGGTCGTGCGGGAGGGCCGGGAGCTGCTCGAGAGCGGGCGGGCAGCGGACCGGTACGCTGGGCAAGGAGGACACGCAGGGACTACCCGGCACTCGCGCACACGTGGCAACGCTGCGCATCTACGATCAAAATCGAGTACATTCAGTGCTTTGCCCAAATCATCTTAATGTGCTTGGCAATATAAAAACATATTTTAACTTATTATTATTAAAACCATTTAGACTGCAACCAATGGCAGCGTAGGGGGCAGCACTCTCCCTGCATCGTGAGAGAAATGTTCGTCACGTGACAGCCAAACCGATATTTTATTTCTCAGAGCTCGATTTCAGACAAATGGAGCGCAGCACCGCCGTCAATGCTCACACGCGTGCCGCCTCTCGCCACGCAGCTCGACGCTCGGGTCCAAGCTGGCGCTGCTGGCTGTGGTGTGGCGCGGCGCGGTGCGGCGCACGCGACACGCGAGGGAGGAGCTGGCGCGCCGCACCGCCTCGTGGCGCCGCTACCTTGAGGCGGGCGCTGCCGCGCGTGACGCTCTGCACCGGCTGGAGGCCGAGGTGACGGAGCTGGAGCGGTGCAGCTCCGGCCTCTCCCACTCGCGGGTGGCCCTGCTCCTGGAGGACACGGAGGTACGGCCCGCCCAGAGCTGCCAGGTGGAACGGGAGGCGGCCCTCAGCCGCCGCTTAACCTTACTTGTTCCTGTGGTCCGTACGTGTACACGTCCGTACGTGTACACGTCCGTACAGGTACAGGTGCAGCCTTTTCAGTAGTCACGTGGCTGGTGGCCGCAGTCATCGGAAGAAATATACTTGATGTGGTGTGCCGGGTACATAAATACAACCCTCCCTAGATCTCAAGGGCTAATCCTGCTTGTGCCTACATGTGGAACACACACAGGCCTCTTGTCAGCCCCTTGCTGGTCGAGAGGCTGGGGTGTTATTTGAACATACTTCACCACACTGGTCACTGTGGGTTGGTGAAATCAGGGGGGAATGCACCAAATCTCGTCAGATCTCGGAAGCTTAAGCAGGTGTGAGCCTGGAAAGTGCTTGCGTGGGCGACCACTGTGCATAGCACAGGCATTGTCGACTGTCGCGGGCAACAAAGAGAAACGCACCAAGATAAATTATTGTACAATACTATGCGCACTCACCAACGTGGTGAAATAAGGATAAAAAAAACTCCCATTATCCGCAGGGTGTTGTAAGGCCCTCATCCAGAAATGGATTGACAAACATTGACTGGATGACCAGCAGCTTAATTTCAGCCGGGCCTGACCTGGCCTACCAGCGACCTGGGAAATATTTCCGCACGCGGCACGCCGCGTCCAGCGTACCTCTCGCGACGGCTGCGGCTACTCAGGTCACGTGCCACCTATTCCAGCCTTTCCAGCAGCGACCCGCGGAGATATTCGGTGATAAATCAAACCCCGGGGTCTTGGCACTGGAGATGAAATCCCCGACCCGTGGACGATTCCCTCTGCACCCCGCCCCATCCACGACCGTACCGCGTGCCGTGCGTGCCGCAGGCCGTGACGCGCGCCACGCAGCGCACGCTGGGCGGCCGAGGGACAGCACTGGAGGCCGCTGCCACGGCCGCGGCGCTACAGCTGGAGCCGGCGGCGCGAGGCCGCCTGCGCCACGAGGTTGTTGCCGCACACGAGCGGTGGAAGCAGGCCGGGCTTCGTCTGCACATCCTTCATCAGCGGCTCACGTGCAGCTTGCAGGTGCCGTGTGTGGCGGGGGGGAGGGGGGGGAGGCCAGGGAGCGCAGAGCAATGGGAGGTGTCTGCAGCGATCCTATCGAGTTTGGAGACACCGCGTGGATTACGTAACGCTTTCCATCGCGCAGTCAGGGCATACCACGCTTTTGTTTTTGCAAATACTTTCCGCAGTTAGGTCTGACAAGTATTTGGGGGACCCTTTAATCAATTCCACTTGCTCTGGTGGTGCTGATATCTCCTGGCCACATCACAACTCAGCGGGTTTGGGAGTTTTACACACACAAGTGTGTATGTGAGATCCCAATTGAGATTATTTTTTCTTGCAGGTAATTTTTTAAATGTCGACCATAACACGGGCAACACAGTGGCCTACTCTGACGATTGACATCGCGGGACCTGTAAAGGTTGATACAGCCGCAGTGTTAGCCAGGGTGGCCGGCCGGACTCGAACCACGAACCTTCCCAAGAAGCAGAGAAAGCACCACCACGAGACCATGTTACGCAACCCTAACCCCACAAAAAATATATCGTGATTGAATCACAGGAAATCTCCGGTAAAACCCGGCACTTGTTTTAAACGGGAGCATTTTAAGTGGAATTACTTACGACACGATCTGAAATTCATGTTAAAGGGAGTTTAATCATTTTAATTCCCAATTATGTACTATCACACATTCAACAAAATCGTACTCAACTGTGTGTTCCTATATCAATGGCAATGCCAGTCCTTTGACTGTCCAGTAGAGCGTCACTCTGTAGGCTCTGCAGGGTATTCCTGCAACCGCCGTCTGTTGTTGTGGTCGTGGCGTCCGTCCACGTCCTCCCCCCGCGGTAAACGGAGGGCCTCTGAAGATGCGCGAGGACGCGTGGCCAAATCTCAAAAAACTCGCTTTCATGCCAAGCTGGCTGAATGAATAATTCAGCCGGATTGCTCGTCTTGTATATTTAATTAAAATCGCAGCTCGCTTTGAACGCAAACGAGCGGCAAAACGCGTGTGCCTGTTTACTCTCGCCAGAGCGCTCATCGCACGCAGTGGCCTCCCCGCAGAATTAATTAATCGCGCGTAATTGCTGCGATGCGTCTGCCGGGCGGTGGTCCGGGTGCGTCGTTAATTGAATCGTCGGCTTCTTAATCTGGCCAAGAGTTTTTGCCTCGCACGCATTGCCGCGGCGGGGCTCCTCTGCAACTCGGCGTTGGCTGCTGTGGTTGCGGATGCTGCCACTGTGCGATGGCGCGACGCGGTGGCTCGGCACGCTTAGCTCGCGATCCAAGTGGTCGCCGGTTCCATCTCCCAGCGCAGCAGTTGAAACAATGGTGCAAGTTTCTTGAAGCCCCCTGCCCCCCCGCCGCTATCGTGCATGTGTGCGTGCGTCTGTTTGCGTGCGTGCGCGTACGCGTGTGTTCGCTAAAGGCACTTGCTCCGACGGTCTTTTAAGGCTATGCGGGGGATCTTTGTGTGCGTGTGTATGAATGCGTGGCCGAGCAGGAGAGGGAGGGCTGGGAGTGCGTGCTGGAGGGCTCTTTGGAGAAGCAGGCCCTGCTGCAGGAGAGGCTCTTCCTGCTGCTGCTGCCATCACAAGAACCGGAGCTGCAGGAGCAGCAGCAGCAGTGCAGGGTGCGCGTGGAGACGAGACGAACACCGCCACCACACCAATCATAACATGATGATTGCCGACTCGGCACAATGAACGCCGACTCAGCACGATGAATGCCGACTCGGCATCCGTCATAGTGGCGAGACTGTGGCGGGCCGCCAGTGAACGAACGGTGTTCATTATCTTAATTTGTTTATTTTTTTTACTTGGTAGTCGGGTTTTAATTTGCTTGGTAGTGGGTGTATATGGGATTTGGTCCTTATATATTATTAATGTACAGCATTATCGGATGCTATTAGCATGAATGACGTTATATTTAAATGAAGCTATTATTATCTTTCAATGTTCGTGCCCGTGTCATCACGTGCTTGCGATGTATTAATCAACAGCAGAGTGAAATATTTCAGTTTAACACCTCGACTTTCGCGACCAACGTTATCCGTAATAAAGATTTTTTGGGGGTTAGATCTCGTAAATATAAATGCATCGTTAAACCCGCCACCGCCCGACACGGCCAATTAGCTTAGGTTGAAAATTATCCTCTCGAAATATTTCAAGAAAATCTTTTCCTGCGCCGCGAGCGCCTGTGCCGGCCTGCCGTTGAGTGTGGCGCCGTGGCCAACGGAGACGTGACGCTGCGCCGTGTCCCCAGGAGCTGGGGCAGCTGGTGGGCGAGTGCACCGAGGAGCTGGAGGGGTTGGAGGGGCCGGAGGGGCCGTGCTCTTCCCTGGAGCTGCCGGCGTCGGACGAAGGACCGCGCGCTGGCGGAGGCCCGCGTGGCCGGCGTGCGCTGGCAGTGGGCCGAGCTGCAGGACCAGGTGAGGGGCCACACCCCCGCGGCAGGCGGCAGGAAAGAGCGTTACGGCGTTCTGAATACGTCTGGTTTTCGGGGTCGCGCTGCGTGACGTTAGGCGTCGTGTCCAACGTTTTGTTCCACGTCCTGGGAGCTTCCTATTCGGTTGAAGAGGAAGTTTCTGGCTGACCAAGCAAATGCTTGGTGCCCCAAGCAGCTCAAGGAGTGCATCAGCTCAAATTCGAATTATACTGTAAACATAACCAGCCAATCTAAACATCGAATTAGTCCCTTTCATCCCTATCATATCTGCATTTATTTTCTCTCATCTCACTAAATCTTTGTCTACAATTCTCTTGTAACACTACACCTCTATCTCTAGTCTACATCTGTTTCTCTCATCTTGCGCAGAGTTTTTTTGCCGATGGCACACAGCCAGGTGGCTCAGCGGTAGAGCGCGCGTCTGACTATCGGTAATCCTATTTGGGGGTTGACTCGGCCCATCATCCCGCGTCAACGTCAGTATGTCGAGCTTCTTTCGCACCGTACATGGCCAACCGTGCTCATTGGAGGTGCGGGGGAAGAACAACAAAGATCAAACGAGTTCCACTTCGTGGGAAATTCATCATCGGTTTTCTTACAAATAGTCTCGCCCCTGCCACAGGAATGGGAAGATTTCCACCACTGGGTCATCTTTGTAAATAGGAAATGAGTCCTCGTTTAAGCAAAAAAATTACGTTGAGTGCCCCCGAGAGGTGACCACCAAACAAAGAACCCCCGTATAGCCTTTAACAGACTGTTGGGGCAAGTGCTGTTAGCGAGCACCTATGAAGGCCGGAACGGTACACGAGGGGGTGGGTGGGTGGCCAGCACCACGCCCGACCGCCTTTGTCTCCCTAGTGGCAATGTTTACACACCGCACCAGGTACTCATTTGAGGCTGAGTCGACCTAAGGAAGACCCCAGACCGGTTCAGATAATTGTCACTGGTGTTGGCCGTGAGCGGGAATCGAACTCGTGTCGCTCGTGACAACTCTGCGCGCGTGTATGCCCGCCGGGGCGTGCAGGTGAGTCGGCTGTCGCGCTGCGCGTCGGAGCGGCACGAGGAGTGGGAGACGTTTGCGAGGCGCGACTCGCGGCTCTGCGAGTGGCTCGTGCGCCTGGAGCAGGCGGTGTCGCGCGGAGGCGAGGGCAGCCTGGAGGAGACGCTGGGCTGGCTCGAGAAGGTGAGGCCTCCGGACGTGGGCCTCCCTACACCCTGCGGGTCTGGCCAGGGGGGCTCATTTTGACCACACTTCACCACGCTGGTCAGCGTGAGTTTGTGCCGGTGGGGATATAGATTAACGGTGTAACGGTGGATGTTGCTGCTGTGCACAGCATACGGCCCCACAGCCTGTATCACCTGTTGTACATGGTGGTCGTCCATAGAAGCACTCTCCAGGCTCAACCCAGCCTAGCTTTAGGTATTGACGAGATCGGTCCCATTCCCGGTCGTTTGCTCATCGGCTTCACCCTACAGAGGAACCTGTCCCTTCCTGAGGGCCCTATCCACTTATTTCGAGCAGGAAACACATCAGCACTCAGCTCGGTCACATATTGAATTAGCAGGGCTGAAGCCGACACATAGCTATCAGGGCACAAATGCATTTGTGCATTTTCAAAAAGTCGTTTTTGATCCTGCTAATAGCCACACAATGCAATACGTAAGTCTCGTTCGTATCGAATCGTCTTTATGAGAGTTATCGTGCCCCCTCCCTCTTGTTAAAAGCAGAGAGAGTTAATACCTTCAACCTGAGATGGAAAGCATTAATAAAGGGAAAAACAATATCGAACAATATCCTTGGGGATGTTTGGACAATTTTAATTACATTAAAAAGTTATCGAGTTGAACACAGACATACGGACGGACGGGCGGACAGATTTAATGCATCGGCACCCTTAACATGGAAGCGTTAAATGTGACAATCTGCAGAATCTGCAGAGCTGTGATCTGCCGGTGCTGATGCTGCTGCTGCCGCCGTGCGTTTTGCCGTGCGCTCCGCGCCAGGAGTGCAAGGACGAGGTGGAGGCGGCGGGCGACTGCTGGGCCCGGCTGCAGGCGTTCGGCAACCAGCTGGTGGCGGCGAGCGGAGCGGCGCGCGCCGCCGAGATCAGGGACAGGCTCGGACGCACGGAGGACCGCTGGAACCACCTGCACTACTTCTGGGCCACCAGGTGAGATGGGCAAGCGAGCGCGCGCGACAGTTGCCACCTGCCCTGGCTTTTCCCAGGATCGTACTCGCATCGTGGTGTCAGCAGCTGTCGTGGGGGAATATCTCGTGAGTCTTCACATCCGTCACAGCCGGTCCTGGCTCTTGTCGGGACTCGGCGATGCCCTCCTGTGGTCGAGGCCGGTATTTCACGCTTTGCGGGCAAGATGTGTTTGGGTCTCTGGGGTGTCTCTGCTGCCATCTTGTGGCAGCTTCTGAAATAGAGAAAACAGACAAAGAGCGGGGTTATGCCCCCTCCCGTTCATTCTGCAGTTGTGTTTTTTTATGTGAATCACAGCATCGTGGTAAACTATGGTCAAACACCTCGCATGATGGACACGGCGTGGAAAGGCACGCCATCACCCAGCAGTGGATTGACAAAGAGATAACAACCGTCATCGTTAATGCGTAGCACGCGGTCAGTGAGCCACCCGGCGAGTAACCGGTGAACAAAGTCACGTGGCCTGCAGTGCAATCCAGCGTGCGGCGTCGGTGAGGACCGTACAGCCACGTGGTTTGGCAGCACCGCAGCAGCAGTCGCTTCTTGCACGCGCGTGCAGCTCCGTGGCGACAGCGATGACGGTGGTGGCGAGCGGTCGTCCCCACGCGCCGCCGCGCCGTCTCTCGGCGCGTCGACTCGCCCTCCATCCCCGGCGTTGACGCCGATTGTTCGGTCGCGGAGAGGGGAAAACGAGGCCGTGCCGGCTGCGTTGCTCGAGCCAACGACGGCGGTGCGCGAGACGTCGCGACGCATCGGCCCTCGTTTAAGCCGCGTGCGGTGACGTGTGGAGGCCCGGGCTGATCAGGCTCAGCCGTGATGAACGGAAGGGGGCGGAGGGGGGAAACGGTCGACAGATTAGCGTTGGTTGGCATTGTGAGGGGAAGGGCATCGCATTACCTTCGTCTGTTTGTTTTCCTTGATTGTGAGCCGTGGATCCACGCTCGCGTCATGTTTCCAATCGGGGTTACGAAGAGCACACAGATATGAGGTGTTAGCAAGGCACATGTTGCATGTGTATCAGTGTGTTCTGCGTTAGCAAGGCATGTGTTTTATATTGCGTGTTGGTGAGTTTTTTTGCCGCAACAAGGCTCTGGAGTCCCTCCCCATATTAAACATCCTGCATGGTATCCATGCTGCTTCTGTAAGATGCAGTGGTTGAGAACCATTTATTGTGCGTTGCATATCACTCATAGAAGGTACATTTCTCGTCTTGCATGAAAATGTTGTTTTTAACAGTCTCTGACAATTGCACTCTTTCTCATCTCTTGTCAGCGTCGGCATTGCCTTCGAGTGTTTGTGTTGCTGTGCCAAATGGCGCAGCCGCCCCTTGAAGGCGTGCATCCTTGTTTACACTCAGCACAGAACTCCGTAGCAGAATGTCCTTCCATTCAAACATCCGTGGCTGATTTAATGGGAAGCGCTGGAGAAATACAGGCACTTTAAACGTGAATCGGGCATTTAATGAACTTTTCAGCTCCGGCGCTGAAAAAAAAATCCGCTCGGATTGCGCAGAGTAAGCGGAGCAAGGTTCTTTTTTAAACTGATTGGTTTTTACAGCTCAGCTCATTACCGCACTAAATTTAGCCGAGCCAGTGTGAACGGCGCTCGAGGCACCAGTCGGGTCAAGGGGGACTGGCGCCCGTCGGAATAAAAGTCCTTCTCACGCCAGTTCTCGTCCCCGCTTCTGCGGCAGCAGTGTCCGCTGGCCCCCCCATCGACTCGCCGTTGCTATGCAGAGGCACGAAATGCCTCGAACGCAAAGCATCCAGCCTCCACAAGTGCTCTTGACCGGCAACATCTGCTCAAGGGTTTGCCCACAGGCCCTTGAACGGAGTAGAAAACTGAAAAAGGCCACCCATGAGTAATGCACTACTGACCAGAATTTTTCACCAAACGTTGAAATAAACACAACGAACTAAAAAGGCCAAAAGCGGTGCAGCCCTGTGATGGCTTGTTCACACAACTGCTGGTGGACGGGCGTGCAGAGCCCCCCGAGAGGGGGTTTGGCCTATTCTTCCACACTGTCCAGACATCTTGGAAGATGTGAGAGCACCCACACTTCACTCCACCACATACAATCTTGGAGTGGGGGGAGGGGGCGTGTACTTAAGACATTTGAACCATTTCTACAACTACCTTGCTGGGAGACGAAATTGAACAGGCGACCGCTGGACTGCAAGTCCAGCGTGCTGACCCTTGCACCGTGTTAGCAACCCACACAGGGATAGCATTAGTCGAGAAATAATGATTGTAGCAGGGAGGGTGGATGTAAAGCAGAAAAGTGGATGGCAAAAACTGACAGTGGCTGATAACATCGGGACATCGTCACAACTCAAGACGGGAGCGTCAAGGGCAGCATAAGATCAGACGATCGCTGTCGACCTCTCAGAGAGCGTTACTCGCGGGTCCCAGAAGAACGGTGAGAGGAGTTAACCCCCAACGGGGTTCTTAGCTCACATCGCCCTGACTTGAGGTTTCCATCTCAAACCGCGGTGCCGCTCAAGATGAGCATCGGGACCTTTGTGAGGTCGGTTGCATCGGTCTGGATGGCGGTTGTTTTGTGGATGCGGTTGGTGGTTGGTGTGTGGGTGTGGTTGGTGTGTGGTTGGTGTGTGGTTGGTGGTTGGTGTGTGGTTGGTGTGTGGTTGGTGTGTGGTTGGTGGTTGGTGTGTGGTTGGTGTGTGGTTGGTGGTTGGTGTGTGGTTGGTGTGTGGTTGGTGGTTGGTGTGTGGTTGGTGGTTGGTGTGTGGTTGGTGGTTGGTGTGTGGGTGCGGTTGGTGTGTAGGCGTGGTTGGTTTGTGAGTGTGTGGTTGGTGGGTGGTTGTTTTGTGGTTGGTGTGTGGTTGGTGGTTGGTTTGTGGGTGTGGTTGGTGTGTGGTTGGTGTGTGGGCGTGGTTGGTGTGTCAGTGCGGTTGGTGTGTAGGTGTGGTTGGTTTGTCGGTGCAGTTGGCTTGGCTGCCCTCTCTTGGATGCTACTCCGCAATGGTGGCGAGGGCTCTGCTCCCAAGCCAGCAGCGTGAGCTCTCCCCATGGCCCCCGGGGAGCGTTGCCGCGCCGGAGCTCTTGACGCCTCTCGTCGATCAGGCACCTGCTGCCTGGCTGTCAATCGGCATGGACTTGCGCGACGGCGCTCGCCGCGTTCCACGCACGCGGGCGCCTCTCGCGTTCGTGGGGCCCCGGAGGGAACGTGCGAAGGGCCTTCAGCTGCAACGCACTCACGAGGACAGAGCCAACAACATAAGTCCCCTGCTTACCCTGAGTCGCACGACGCTGTAGCCGGTGGGGTGACGATATCCTCCGTGTTGGTGGAGGGAGCTCTTTCACAACATTCGATGTGGGTTATCAGTGACCTACTTTCTGTTTGTGGGCTCGCAGGCACCTCGATGCCCTGCAAGGACAAAGGTAGTCTGTGCAGCCTGTTGATAGCCTGTTGGGGTTTAACCTTTGCTTAATTAAAATGTGTTCACGCTTACCTATTACAAATGTGATGGTGCTGTTTGTTACTGGCCGCTTGATGTTTTGGGCCTTTGCGACTCTGCTCCGCAGCTGCAATGGGCAGCTGGTAAGGTCAGCATGGCACAGGATAGCATCGTGTGGCCAGCACCAGGCCCGGCAGACCTCCTCTCCCCAATTCTGATGTTTACACGCCAAACAAGGTGCTCATTTAAGGCTGAGTCGACATGGCGGAGCCACTTGACAGGTTAAGATCCTACCGGCCACTGATTTTTGCCATGTTCGGTCATGGAACCAAGATCACCAGGCCTGAAGCGCAGTACGCTAAGCATTATACCACCGCTGGCCTTCAAGTTGGTTTTTCGCACACGTGATCTCTTCATCATCCACCAACCCCATTCCTCAGCGGTTGGATCACAGCCAGGCACCACCAATGCATACGAAATCCTCGCCACGTAACGCGTGTTCCAACCTACAAAATGTGCACGCTTGCTTCGTGTTCTACTTTGCTGACTTTGCTGGCAGCTTCATCTCGCTGCGCTATGAACTCATTCGCCCAGGTTGGATTGCCGACCGTGGCTACCATCAGTGGCGAGAGTAGTTGTTTTAGACTAATTTCAGGGTGCTGATTCCAAATCTGATATCAGATTTGCTCTATCACATCTAATTTTTATGCTATAGGCATACCCCATTTTCATTGATTTTACCCGAAATTAACTCTGTCACTTATGATTGCAAGTTGTTGCGAGTCAGTGACTGCTTTAGTGTTAAAATATGGTGCTGTATTTTAGGATAGTGTGTTTATAATATCATTTTATGTAGATATCCACATTTATTTAATATTTTTCTTCTGCAGTTTTTATTGAAAATGCAATATTTGATATCTCAAAAACCTGATGTGATAAGACAAAAACTGATGCCAGATTTGGAATCAGCATCCCAAAATTACCTTAAAACCGTTGGAATACCTTATGCCAGAAAAAGTGTGTTGACCAGTGATATATCTGAACCGGTCTCGCCTGTGCTCGCTCCCCTTCACCAACCCGCACTGACCAGCGTGGCGAAATATGGTCAAACAACCCACACGACCTGAAAATCATTGGGAAAAACTCCCGTGTATAACGAGCAGATCTGGATCAACGACTAACGACCCTTGCCCTCATCCTCCCCGTCCGCTTCACGCGACCAGACTCTTCCTCCTCCCCCGCCCCGTGAGTTGTGTCTGTGGCTCTGAGTAGGGTGAATCTGCTGTACCGTGTGTTGAGTTTGTTGTCCTTCCACCGCACCTCCGATTAGCACGGTTGGCTACGTACGGTGCGAAAGAAGTTCAACATACATAGATTATTACAAGAGAGACAGTCCAAGCGCAAATTTTTTTATTTTATTTTATAATCTCATTGTGGACCCTGGTTTGGGACGATTCCTCAATCCGCTGGTGGGTGGAATTGCTGCAACCCTTCATAATTACTGTACGCAACAGTGGCAGCTTCGCCGCTCATTAATTTGAAAAG